ACGAGATAATATAACGAATACGTGCGGATTATCACTTTATATCACTTTATATTATGAAATACAAGGTGATTTGTCATTTATTTAAAGTAATTCATCTTTGTAAAAAAATATAATAAATCGTATATAGCGTTTTTTTTTTTTTTTTTTTTTTTTTTTTTTTTTTTTTTTTTTTTTTTTTTTTTTTTTTGACGTATGCTATAACAATATTTGTTATTTGTATTTTCACAATTTTCACAAATGAGCGAAAAATACACGTATTAATGAATTTTAATTATATTATATATTTAATTATATTATACATGTTTCAAATTAATGACACTACATTGATATTTGTATTAAAGTTACAAAACTTTATTAATCAAACAAATAAATAAATAAAAACAAAATAATAATAAAATAAATATCAAATTGAAAGATTTGAAACGACTTATTCTTTCTTGTACTTAACAAATATTTACAAGTCTAAAGAAGCACTGCACTAGGAGCATTAAACTGAAAATACATTACTTGTATAATTTGGCAAATCGTCAAAGAATTACGTTATTTCGTCTTGGAAACGCTCTATTATTGAGAGATTGTCTGTTTAAACATTCCTTAGCGTAAAAAGATCATTATTCAGAAATAATGCAGTAGAAAAAATGCTCTCCGCTGACCTTAAAACGCCACAGATCAACTGTACAAAATTTGTGAAGTAGTAATGGCACGAAGCGAGACGTATAAATCGTCGTTTGTTTGCACATGTACCGAACATGTGAACATGCGAAATAAGATGTAAAATGAAGAGCATCATCACGTTCGACGAGTCCGACAACTTTTACCTTCGATAACGCCGTATACATCTTTCCATAATTTATTCAAGCGTTGAGCCGAGACGATAACGCATACTTTTATCCAAGCGCATAAACAAAACAGTCATTCTCGGTAGAGGAAGTGCCGTTTTGTAAGCTATAATTTCCTAAATTTGTTATAAAGTTGTTACGAGCCAACGTATTAAGTCGTTACCAGCCATATTCTATGATTTTTATTTAATAATTTAATAAGTGAATTAAAATTTTATTCTAAGACGAATAGCAATAAAAGTCACTCTTGGACTTAAAAATAACTTTTACTATGTATAATCGTAGGCTTATCGCACGTTTGAATTGTTTGCTGATATATTTATTGATAAAAATTAATCATGGAAATTAAATGGAAAATAATTTATTCGTTAAACATCCGTTAAATACGTTAAATTAAATTACTAAACGCTAATTATAAATTAATTCACACTGCAACGTTGTGCATTGCAATTTCATAGTAATTAAAAAGCTTTAAATTGATTTTATTTCAATTACATTCTTATGTATCTGCAAAGATATTTATAACCATTAAAAATTATCAATTTTTTTGGTTTCATTTTTTTTTTCAATTTTTTTTTTCAATTTTTTTTTTATTTTTTATTTTTTCTTCTTTTTAGGCACGAATGATAATTTACAGTTAACAAGGGAAAATAACCGAGGTCAAGCATTGTTAGCGTCATAGCGATTTCTCCCTCTTTATTATCTCTTTCGCTTTGTATGTCTTATATGAACAACATGAATGGAAAAATATTCCATTCAGTAAAAAATTTAAGTAAAGTAAATGTAATTCAAATCTTTTTTCATATGTACAATAAGTACAATCAATGTTTATATTAATAATTAATTGCATTCTTCAGGCAAATAATTGAATCATTTATAAGAAGAACATAAGTAACTGTTTAATTCGATATAAATGAAAATGAATTGAAAGTTTTTTTTTTTTTATCACAAATTACAGATTATAATTTAATATTAAATATTCATACGAATTTAAAATTAAAATTTAATTTTACGTAACTATATATTCCATAATATCCATAACTTAATGTTTTATATATATATATATATATATATATATATATATATATATATATATATAAATTCCTCAATATGAATAGAAATTAGCTAATATTAGATTTTAATACGCCCATTGCATTATGAGATAATACTTTCATGTAATTCAGTTTTGATATTTAAGGCAAGCTAGAGTGGATACAGTGTTTATATACCTTTTTTTTTGTTATTAAACTATTAAATTTCTATTCAAAATGATAAAATAGATAATACAATTAACATATGAAGTAATAGTATATACTTTTTACAAAACATAATAATACTTTTAGACCCCAACGAGGAAAATATTAATATTCATAGTAACTGCAAGCAAGTTTAACATATATTTCAATGTATTTAACTAAAGTTGAAATTAAATATTCAATTAAATATAAAATTTTCTAAAATTTGTTAGTTCATTTTCGGTAAGCTTGTGATAAAATGATAATAGCCGAAAGTAAAAATTCAATTTTTGTGTGAAGAATACTTAAATTGTAGATATAAGATTGAAAGTTGTATTGAAAAACAGTAATAAATACTTATATATTAATAATTTATAATTAATTTTATCTTTTATATTACCATACTGTGTAAGAGTTTAATACTTCTTGTACATTGTAATATTCTTTTTATTTTTAATGTTGATTTTTTTAGGAGTAAATACACATTATTAATACATCAATAGAACTCAACATAATGCATAGTTGATGTTAGACAGTTTAGGCGATATTTTTCTTCAAATATATCAAACTCTTTTAAGAATATTAGATATTAATTTAATAGTTATTTCATTAATTTTTTTTATCTAAAACCTACAACGAATTTATTAGTAAAACAATACCTGTTTGATTCCTACTGATAATTGTCACCTCAAAAAACTGACATTGTGTCCTTAAAGCTTCATTACTTTTATTCCAGTTGACTAGAATAATTCATTATTCTTTTAATTTAAATATTGTAAAATAATACAATATTATGCAGCATAACATAAAGCTTAAAATACTGTACTTTTAGAAATTCGAAACAAGATATTGAAAATTATGACCTCTTAACACTAATTACATATGACTGTAAACTTCATTGATAAATATTATATATCATTCTAATTTTATTGAGACAATTAAATTATAATCAGGGGCGGGGAGGCAGGAATTAATAGGCCAAAACTTTTTCAAAGACTTTTTTTTTCTAGCAATAAAATTTACTGATGATGAGAAGAAAAACTTAATAGCACAGAATATACGATATAAAAAAATCAATCTGATTAAAAAAACAAGTTTGAAACAGTAATTACTAATATACTATTTTACATACATATTTACATATATATGTAAAGAAAAAATTCATTACATTCTTCAATATATCTCACTGGAAATTAAAATAGAAAATTTTTTGTTTACAAATACATGTTTTTTTTTCTAAAACTTTTCAAACAAATATGTGACGAAAAATTGCACATACTTAAATATAAAAAAAAAGAATTAAAAAAAAATTAATTTTAATAATATTATAATACGTAACCAAACAGAAAAGTAAAATTCTGAATTTTATTACATAATGAAGCAATATTAAATGTAGTTAATGTATATTTAAATAAAGTTTTATAATAGAATGCATGTACTACTGAATGCAAGTGCTCGAATTAATTTTTGATATATATAATTCATAGTCGATATAATCATAAACTCTAGATTCAAAATAAAATTTACTTTCACTATATAAATTCAGTCATTTAAATTCTCAGACTCTATAATTGTTTAATGATAAAAAAGAAAATTTTATAGTAATTTGAAAGATAAGAAAGTTTACTACTTATATTACTTATATTCATTTTCATTTCAATAATTTTGTAATTTATATTTTTTTAAATTATTTTCCAATATCATTATTAGACAAAATTTTTAGTTATTTTACATTATCATTAACCGAGAAAAAATTAACTTTATCTTTTTACAACTGCAAAATTCTATTTAGTTAACTCGAGATAAATAATAATAATAATAATAACAAAGCTATTGCTAAATAAAGAAAAATTATAGTTTACCGATAAATAAAATAAAGAATGAAAAACTACGTATTCAACTTTCAGAAAATGTCTTTTAAATATTGATAAATTTAAATATCTTTTATAATATAAAATTTAATATCTTGTAATATCAAAGAGAAATAGAGTATGGCTTATTATACATATAGAGAAAGTTTAGAAAGACACGATGAGAAGGATAGTGATTTGTAAATAGCGTATATATATATATATATATATATATATTTCTCAAGTGCATGTGGCCAGTAGTGACATATGTTTCTCGTGTCTATTTAAGTTACTTCTCGATAAATTCTGTTGGTATGATAAAAAAATTTATTCCATTCTATTGAAAAAGCAACTATTGGATGTTGAAAATTAAAATGTTGAAAATTTCGTTTATCGTATTGGAATTTCAGCCAACAGTATTACGATTATACTGATCGTTCAAAAAGAAATTGTTTCGGTAATGAACCGATTTCTAAGATCATGAAAGTCTGGGTTGACTAAAAACGCCTTCTTCATATGTGTATACACATTAAATCTGAGCACACTTAGCACTTATTTACGTACATGCAGTCTATATTATATATTATTTCTCATACTTTAATTAAATTTCTCCAAGTTTTTAAATTGCCAAATAATAGGTTACATACATATACATATATGCGTATATATAATATTTTTATTATCTTTTTACGTATAGGATGATAAAAGTTCCAACTTTTGTCTTTATCCGTCTCACTAAAGATCGCATATGTTTTCTATTCAGAGCTGAACAAACTATGGATGGTCGATTATTTTTTAATTGCTCCAGCAAAGAGAAAAGTACTTGTGCTCGAGGAAAAAAAAAATATCATTCTTGTTACACGATTCGATTGCCGCTTTACCGTCTGTATTCCAAAAAACATCGAGCATTACACAATATTGTACATAATTGTTTCGGAGCACATACATACGCAAGCAATAGAGATTTTAGAGGCGAGCTTTAAAATAAGCCGATAAAAGAGCAACATCCGAAAATTTGGGGGTGGAATGAGTGCTCGTAACCCTCTAAATGCTTGGTGTTTGAAATTTGGTTTTAGGGTGCACGTGGCGAGAGGCATTGGGAACATGCGTTTTGGAATCGGACTTTGGTTTCACGTTAAACTGTGCCTTCAAAAAGTCGGGGCTCTTTCGGGTCCGTAATCTAGGAGGCGTCAAGGGCTACGTTGGTCTTGGTGAGTGTTGCTACGTTCCCTTGAGTTGCCTCTGTGTGGCGGCTCTATGTACATAACCCAAACTAAGATTTCTACAATGTAAATTGTGAATAATACTCCTAGCCTTCTCTCTCTCTCTCTCTCTCTCTCTCTCTCTCTCTCTCTTTCATATATATATATATATATATATATATATATCTGTCCCTTCAAAATGTATATCTAGATAATAATGTAGACATATTTTGTACATAATAATGTGATTTTTAAAACATTTATATATAACAAAGTGAAAATGTCTGTATATAATATAATAAAGACTGTATTTCCTCTTTTAATAATTACAAATTACTTGCCCTATGAAACGCTTTATTTTCTTTATGCACGTACTTGCTTTTATTATTTCAAACTTAGATGTAATTATCAAATTATTAAATAAGTTTATCTATAAGGACGATTTGTAAATTACTTTAAAAATAATTCATTTAGCAGACACGTATGTGTGTAAGTATACGCAAAAATTTTAATTATATAAATCAATACGTTTTCAGAATATTATAAATTAAGATAATAATGAAGAATTTTACATGACTGTTATAATTTTAAATATATTCCTCATATCATATAATTAATTTGATCGTTTCATTTAAATTTACAATCGTAACTAATAATTTTTTTACCACTATTGAATAGCCGAAAAATTATTATCGCTCTACGATTAACACATGATCATACATAAAAGATAGCTCTATAAAAAAATTTGTCTGGTATTCATTTCAAATTAATTTTAAATCGATAAAGCTTAATTAGAATTATATTTCCTAATTTAGATATCAAGAATATCGATAAAAACACATATACGTTATGGTTTAATTAATTATATGATTTAATCGAATGATAAAAATCAGTAAATGTCCTTATTAAATGTTATAAAAAATATATAATAATTTTTCTTTTAATGTATAAACGTAATTTAACACAAACATTTATTTTAGAGTTCAAATTTAAGAAATGCAATGTATTATGTATTATAGGTAAAATTATATTTCTAAATACAATTCTATTTTTCGATTATTGACATTTTCTATATTTAATAAAAGTTTTGTAACAATTTTTTCTTCTTTTTTTTCTTCATTTTTTGATTTATTCCTTCAAGTTTTCCATAATTAAGTATGTATGTCAGAGATATAAATATTTATATACGTAAAATATTAAGTTTGTCATACACGTATGAAATTTGATAAATGAAAAAATTCAGAGAAAGTAGATTTCTGAAATGAAACGAGTATTAATTCATTAAATTGAATATAGAAACTATTTCATGATTAACATAATTTTTTATTTTTTTCTAACGATTTAAATTACTTTAATATATTACTCTAATGTATTATTTTATCAAACTATAATATATATATATATATATATATATATATATATATATATATATATATATGTTTACTGGTTTTTTTTTTTTTTTTTTTTTAATGATTCAAGTGATTCGAAGTAAATAAAAACTTGCATAACAAGCATTCGCACAAACCTTCGCTGTTTCATGGTTGAGAAATCGTTCATAATATAGATCAATGTGAAAGTACACGCATCGAAGGCGACTACTTCGATAATATGGTCCAGGGTGTTACACAAATTTTTTGAAATATTTGCTACTCACCAGTCATTTCAATATGTGTAAAATGCAAGATTGAATTTTTTAATTTGTGACGGTTGGTATTATTCCTTTTTCTTTTCTTTTTTCTTCTTTTTTTTCTCTTTCTTTTTTTCTTTTTAATGCAAGAAGTGTCTTCCCATACCAAGATAACGAATAAATGTTTACATCAAAACAGATCTTTGGAATGTCGCAAAGTACCTTGAAAGTAGAAACTTTCTCTTGATGAGTTGTTAAAGAAAAAACGAATAATTAATGCTCGGTTCAAGTTAGAAAACGTTAACGTACTAATTTTTCACATTTAGTATCTCATTTAATTTCTAGACGTCATTCAAATAGTATTTAAGTTTCTGATAATTTAGTACGACGAATGATAAAATTGTTTTCTGCACTGCTTATGTTATCCTAGTAAAAAATGAATCTATTTACATCTACAGTAACATAATAAATTAGACTTTATAGTAATAGGCGTTTCAACTATTATTATCAATTCATATCTTGATGAATATACATTATTTATGGATGTGGGTAAGAAGATATTTAATAAAAAATATAGTAGTAGTCCGTTTTTGTCGTATGTGTTTGTATGAAATAATATTTACTCTTACATTTATCTCTGACATAATTACAATGCTATGGAATAAACATGGAGCAACTGCTGGTTCGATACTAAATCGTAAAAAATATTTGTGATAGCTCATAAATAATAGCCATGTTAATAAGCAATATATGTGCAAAATTTCCAATTAATGACATTTTATCAAAAACCTCGGAAAAATTGTGCAAGCCCTATAATGTAAATAACAAGATGTTTTACGAAATATTTTGCACGTAATTGTAGAGGTAAAGATTCTATAAACAAATTAATTATAATTTACGAAATTTAATTTTTCACACAATCCGCTTTCACGAATTGTAGGCTCAAGTAATTTTATTCCAGAACTAATTCAAATTCTACAATGTATTCATATTATTTTGTTTTTTTATTATTTCATTCATAAGTAAAGGTACTCTGTAATTAAAAGAAATTTATATATATATATATATATATATATATATACCGATACTAGGAAATAATAAGAGAACAGAAAAACTTTTTCTTTAATATACAAGAAAAATTACACTAAAAGCAACAATAAATCTTTATACACAATTTTGTTATATGCGCGATCGATATCTTCTCATCTTTAATAGACTAAGAAATAAAATGGAATTTTCAATTTAATTTATGCCATGCTTCTTCATAACTACCAAATTACACAAACATACGCTTCACATTATTTTTGTATAATAAAGAAATAGTCGCTCGCGCGTAGCTTAATATAATGTGTTATTTTACCGTTATTTCTATTCAATGATCACTAGTTGAATAATAATGAGTATCATCAACTTCTTCAAAGTATTTTAGATCTGGTTGCCGTACATCGTAAATTCGACATTACAACAAACATGCATGTAACAGTTTTTTTATTTACATATTTTATATACGACTCATATCTATATTCATGTAAAAGCAATATTAATATATACGTATGATCGATGTATAAAACACGTCAATTATTGTATAAAAAACTTTTCTCTCTGAAGGTAATGTTATAATAACATTTTGATCAATACAAATTTTTATTAATATCAATGATTTTCAAAGATTAATAATTTTCTTCTTATTTCTATTGTAGAACAAGAAGTACAAAATTTATCCAAAGTAGTATTAAATTCAATTATCACCTTAGAATAATAAACTATCGTATGTAGTCAGAAATTGAAATTGAATAACTAAATAATGCAAAAAATGCAAGGAATTATTAACTATAATTAAAGAACGATGATTAAAATTTGCATCGCAATTATAAGAGATGCGTTTCCGATAATTTTGAATAAAATTGTAAATTAATGTAATATCCATATGAATTATAGAAAATATAAATTATATAAGACTTAAGTATGAAAATTTTACAATAATTACTAAATACATTTTTTTAAAGGACCATATTACAAAATCTATTGTACGTAGTAATACGATGATTAAAAATCACTCACATTCACATACAAATATTCGAGTATACAAAAAGCAACGCATAATTTAATTTATCCTATTTTACATAATTGATAATTAAATATACCGAACAACTTACCAAGTATTATTTAATACATTTAATGTAATATTCATCATTTATATTGCGAATAAACTTTAATTATTATTCTGGAATGGTTATTTTATATTATAAAATTTAACTTTATAACAATATTTTTTTCATTTTTTTTTATAAGTTTTTATTAATAATTTTCAATAATATCATGCAGTTTTACGACGTGTAATCTTATATCTTTAGAATAAAATATTTTCTACTCTTTAAATTAGCAAATTTTAATATGATTACATATATGTTTTACTAAAACAACATCCGAAACTAATCACTTTTTCAATATCAATAATCTATATTACATGATAATTAAATCATTTTCACCGCACTTGGATAAAATGCCGTCATCTATTATTAAATCAAATATATCATTAAATGTGCAAAGATTTTAGATTAAATATTTCTTACATTAACACACTATATTTCTTTTAATCCACAATAGCCTATACAATGAAAACAATACAAATGCTTTGATAATAATTTTGGATATTTAAACATTCAAATAATTAAGGAGAAGATCGTTTCATTGAAATTTCAATGGATTAAAAAATAAAGTAAATAATACGTCCGGGGAACGAAATAAATCAATAATGAATGTACAAAATCTAAAAAAAGTATAAAATATAATCCTTAAAAATTTCAGTCACTTATTGATATTTTGACGAATATTCAACGAAAACAAATATTAATGTAATCTTAAAAGTTCAACACCCCCACCCCCACCCCCCTTCACACTTAATACGTATTTCATAAACGAGACGATCTTAATGGACTGTACGACATAACAATTGCAACGTCGTCAAATCCGTTGCACCGCCGTTCCTAAACGTCCCTTCACGCACAAACGGCAATTCAAAACATCGGCAAGGCAAATCGGAAAATATCGGCCCTTCTCCTCTATTCGTTTTCACAACACCGCGATTGCACAATACGGTTTATCCGCTTTCTCACGGCGACGATTGGCTATCGTAGAAAGTTCTCTCGATCTCCATTAATTTAACATCAACGTGCGCTTCGATTCGACATATCACCTGAGTGCAAAAAAAAGCCGCCACGACACTATGTTTGACCTCACCACGCGGAACTTATTATCTCTCTTATGAATAATGTTGCATTTGCCCGAGGCATTCTTGTATCTTTTTTGGTAGCGAGAGTACTGCTTGATGAAGTGGAATGATTTTCGGGGAACGTCGCCTCCTCTCTCGTACATGGAATTTTCAGTTCGATGTTTAATTACATAAGTTAATCATTGGTAGACAGCTGATCGCTTATCGCAATCGGAATTGACTTAAGTTGTTTAACTTGAGTCTTATAATGAATTGGAAATTCCAATGATTTAATGAAACAAAAATACGTTGTTTTCTTGATTTTATGTGAAAGGCAAGTAAAGTATTTGACAATATCGGCAAGTAACTACAAAAATCTACTCGTACGAAAATCCTATTAAGTAATTTATTATATCTCATAGTTGTAATAGGTGAGAACGATGTACATAAATATTTCTTATTATTATCAAATACAATGTTGTGTATACGACGTATACACAAAATAATGAAATTCATAATTCCATAAAAAACTATAGTTTCTATCAAATGTAATAAAATATAATAGAAAAAAGGCAATATAAATGTTTGATATTTAACGTATGTTTAGAATTATTTGATTTTTAAAAACTTCAGCGCATTCGTATTTCTTACATCATCATATTGAATTAATACTATCTCATCTGTAAAAATCAAATATTGACAGGATTAACAAATGATGTACTTTAAACAAAAAATATATATATATATATATATATATATATATATATATTTCTCGTAATAAATAATGTATAAAAAACAAAAATATCTGCTAAGAGAATTAAACGAAAGTCAAAAGCAGTAGTAATATAATTATTATTCCTTATAAATCTTCATCATTTTGTAAAAATGAAGGTAATCCGTTGGTAATAAGTTGTACTCTTAATTATTATTAGAGAAATTATTAAACAACTTCATTTTCATTTAATAAATTCGTTTCAAATTACATAAGAAAAGAAAATCAATTGCTTTATTTTACCAATTAAATTGTAACAGACACTTGAAGTATTTAGAATATTTAAATAATTCATACGAATAATTTATCGCAATTGATAATATATAAATTTATGATAATAAAGAGCAATTATTTTATTGAATTATCAATTATTAAATCTATAAAAATTTTCAATTCATTTTCTGATAAAAACTAAGCAAATTACTATGATTCAAGATATTGATATGAAAACATTTTTTATATAATTTTAATACAACATATTGCAATGTATAAACTTTACACGAGTGCGCGCACACACACAGGCGTTCAAGCATACACTGACACTTCATGTTAATATACGAATAAAGCGCCTCGTATGTCAAAACACATTCAACATATTGAAATTAATTTTAAAAAATTCAAGAGAATTTCAAGACGCCAATGTCGCAGATTCATTGTAATTCCGATGTACCGCTCGTTAAATACTCCAACTGCTATACTAAATCGTAGAAAAATTTTCAATACGTCATATCCTTATGAATAAATTATGCTTTCTGCACTATTCTAATAAAGACGTACATAATATTCGCAATAAATGATTTATTCTACATGTGCTGGGTTCGCTTAACGACAATGAAGTTTTTTATTTTTATGATTCGTCGTAGTATCACATGAGAAAAAAGACAAATTTTCTTTATTGAGCGTTAATACCTTTTATACGATGAACTTGCTTATTATCTCTGACTTTTTCTTATAAATATTGTCAATATACAAATGACGAACAGCAATCTATAAAAGTAAGCGTGATAAATGAATTAATATTTGTAAAAATTAACTTTTAACCAACTTCACAAATTAGCTATCGGCTAATTATTTACGTTTTAAGTTTATTATTAAGTATTCCAATTGGTAAATAATATTTTTTTAAATTACTTATAATTTTAAAGAATTTTTATCAAATTTGTAAATTTAAAATATAATGAATATAAATTTCTACAAAAGAAAATAACAAACGCAAGATTTTCATTGTGAAAACCTATATAGCTCATTAAAGTATCATAATTTTGTTCAACTGTTATGTGCTTTATTCTTTAAAAATTTTACAAAACTGATAAGATATTGACTAGAAAAGGAATGAAATAAGCTTACGTAGATTTTAGCAGGTTTGATTACAAAAAATTACATGATATAATAAAAACGTAAAAATATGTTTAATTTCAAATATAAAATATAATATATAAAACACGCCTATTTGTTGCTCTACCGTATAATATTATTGTTATTTTTATTATTTTATTTATCGATATATAATTTATAATCGAATACATGATAACATTTGATTTCAATGTTTTAAGACTTTGAAAATGAGTACTCATCCATTACGCAATTAAATTATCGTAAACTTGCAATTTAAAATAGTCTATAAATGCAGTCTAATATTCCGAAATTATGTTGTAATGAACAACTAATGTAATGGCCAGGTTATCTGAACTCACTAATGATCCACAGAATGTTATTGCATCAAATTTTGAAATTTATTGAAGTGACTCTCGTAAAAAAATTAAAAAAAAAACAGTATATATATGCATCAAATATGACGTAATGCTAGTGCACTCTTAAATGCTTTGTGATACATACAAATTTTATAATACAGACGATGTTTTTTTTTCGTCAAAATAAATATTTGAAACATACTATGCAGTTATTATGCTTTAGGAAAATATTTAAATATATATATGATTTAAGATTCTTGATTCATGAAATATAAGATACATGATAGTTGAGTATAATTATTAATTTAAAATATTATATAATTTATCTAATATTTCTACAATTTTGCATTGATACGAATGAAAAATGAAGAGTTTAATAATATTTTGAATTGTGCATTAATTTCGCTTCGACTATTACATATTAAGCTCTTATCGGTCGCACGAGTTCCAATAATAAGATATTATATTAGAAATACCATAATCTCCATAAATTCGTTTAAATATGCCACAAACGTGTTCTAACAAATGTCAATTATGCTTTTTGCAATATTTCTAACGAGATTGAAGGGTATTTATATAACATTTAGAATTTACTACTTGGAAGTATCAAATTTCTTAGCTATCAAATTCGGATTAATTCATTGTTATTTTATGTTTCTCTATTATATGATCATTATTAAAGAAGATTAATGTAAATCAGAATATTTTCAATGACCCGCTTGTTGCAAGAATGGTTTTATAATTATATTCTATTAAAGTCGCAAGTCATTGTCCATGGCGTGACATTAGTCTATTTATAGATATCGCAGCGTCGATTTGTTGATTATTGCTTTGCCATCGCTAGTCGTCTAAACAATTTGCTCGATAAATTTTCAGATTTCACAGGTGTATGCATCTAATATAATTCATTTACATCGTTCCAGTGCTAATGAGTATATGGAATATGTAAATATTTTGATTCGTTAAATTAAACTTTTGCAAGTCAATCATTAAAAAAAAACGTTTTTTTTTTTGGATTTTCATAAATTTTATTTTTCTATGATCATACATTACAACTGAAGAAGGTAATGAATATTCTCTTTGTCGAAATTCGTTAACAATGTTATTAAATTGGCGAGTCCAACTTTAAATAATACATAATACGTATTAGTAATTATTAATGCATTAGTAAATATCGATAATTTTAAGGTATTAGAAAATATTAATAAAATTTGGATTGTAATAAAAATTAATAATGAACGCTTGACATTGAAAATAATCATTATTGGTATAATGCTAAACAATTTTTATTCGATTAAAAAAATCTTCTATGATATATTTATTAATACGCATTTTCTTTATAAAATAGGTAAAAAAAAAAACTTAATTAAATGAAAGTTATTGAATACCAATAAAAATGTTTTTGTATGTATATTAACAAATTTTCATTTTTATAAAAAAAATGAATATATTTCTTTTTAAAAAAATAATAACAGCATTAATAATTGATTTTTCAATGAATTATTCAAGAAATAATTAAATGACTACAATAATATAGAAAATCAATCCATACGTATGTAAATCTCTCTTTATTCCTATTATGTCTAAAGAAAAAAAAGGGACTTAAATTATTTACATTCACGTGCACAAAAAATTAGTTGTTTAATTACGCATGATAAATGATTATATCTCGACGCGTCTGATAGGATTACAATTATATTATAGTATGATTATCGATATTTATTATCAATTGCTATTTATACAATAAGTGTATTGTAGCTTTTAAAACAAATATCCTATATTGGAGAATATAAATTTGTAAAAAATAATTTTCAATATATGTTAAAATTTGTCTTTTGAGGTTTCTCAATTGGAGACGAGCTGGGCTTTCGAGATTCTTTAACCAATCTGGAAGTAAGCAAAAGACGCAGTGTATCTAAGAAAAATGGTATTCCTGGTCTACATCCTAATGGGGTGAGAATATAAAGATAAATTTATAATTTCATAATAATATAAATTTTGATTTGACTTTTTCGCAATTGTCTGAGCTATTCGTACAGTTACGTAGTAAATATATAATTTATAAATAGAAACAACGTGATTTAAAAATAAAATATTATGATAACGTATTTATTAATAAACAATATTTTCATAGAAACAATGAACAATACTTGTTAATAAATGTTTTCTAAGTTATATTATATTTTATTTTTATTTAGATTTATAAATAGGTAATAGACGATATAACGATAACCTTTAATCTTACTTAACGGCTATTTGATAGGAAAAGTATCTTGAATCATTGTAACTATAGCAGAAACTCATGAAGACTATTATCAATATTATTTTAACAATTCTATTTAATATTAAAGATAATAGTATAGATTTTTCATCCGTGCCAATTAAAGCTCTTGAAATTTCTTATTTTTCACTAAATTAGTCATAATTTTCAAGCTTCATTAGCTGCTTAGAAGCTAATAATAATAATAATAATAATAATAATAATAATAATAATAATAATAATCACTAATATCATTGTTTATATCAATAGTAATCGTTGTTGCAATTAATTGTTCAATTCTATTACACAAATGCAATTATTTTTCTACAAATTTTATTTAAATCCTAAGTAATAAAAACATGGAAACTTACCAGCATGGAATTAATAAAATTATAATATATCGTAATATGTGAGATTCTTAGTATTTTATCGCTTACAAAGTGAATCATTTTTAAGATATTTATACGAAAAATGTATCCTGTTAGATAATATTAATAAGAATAAGGAAAAATGTACCTTAATGAAGTGACGCAAATAATTTGATATTACAACATTAAAATCGCAACTTGATTAATAAACGAAAATTGAATATTTGTTACGCAATAAAGAAGGAAAATTAATATATTAAATTAATTAGAAATAAATTTTTTCCATAACTATAATAACTTCAATAATATACAAATTATTTAATTCATCAATATTGAAATTGTTTTAAGTAAAAAGTTTAGTAAAATTTTCAACTATCATTTATTATAAAATTTGGAAATAATTAACCTTTTTTTTTATTTTTTTTTTTTATTATTATAATTTTTTTTTTTTTTTTTTTTTAAGCATTCCATAATTTTCGAATAAAACTAGTTTTCAAACTCAGCCAGTTCTCATTAATAAGAAAATATCCGTATAATGTAAATTAAAAAAAAAAGATTTGAAGCAGCTGCGTTGAATATTATTCTTGTTAAGGAATTAAGAAAGTCCGTATGTATGAAATAAATAATGCAAATGATAATTATAGACTATGAAGAGAAAGGCAATTACCGAATTAGAAAAATCATTACTATCTATTTTATTCGAAACGATAATGGGAAAGAAATAATATTTGCACATTATTAAATTTTAATTTAAATTTGATAAAAATTTAACGATTCATCTTTAAATCTAATTATTAATTCAGTCTATATAATTTTCAATTTAAATAATATAACTAGTTACTAAATTTTCGATGTTTTTTTTTATTTGCATCGAATGACTCAAATAAATCATTAATAAAATTTTACAACAACTTTTCAACCATTTATTTGTCCCAACAGAAATTTCAGAAAATCGTTATGCACTCCCTCTCCTTAATGAAAATATAATGAGTCTTGAGTTCGTTACTAACATACATAAAACAGCAAAGTTTAAAATTCTTATGAATACATTTTCTAAATTTATGCACATATCATTTAAGACGTAAGAGAATTAATTGCACGACTTCGTTCGCACGGTCAGCTGTTCGAACTTTAACTTCAACAAGATTAGGCGTGATTTCGAAAGCAATTACTAGTGATTTGCAATATGCTCAACGCAAATATATATTACGCGCTCTATAATGATATATATATATATATATATATATATATATATATATATATTCTTTTTTTCTTCTTTTCTTTTCCTAATTATATAATTTATATAATTGTAATCGTAAGATATTTTAAAACTTGAGTTGCATTGAGATTATCGAGCGCGTCGTATAAAAGTAAAGTAATAGCCTTGACGTAACTGGTGCATGAATGCCACTGTACACTGTACATTGTATTTATAATTATTTAAGAAACTTTAATAAGAGACGTATAGTGTATAAAACGAGCTATATTTATTTTAATAAATGTCATTTATAATAATAAACGAGACCGATATGCCTTTGAATGAGGTAAAAAAGTTTTTCCATAACATTGTGTAAGAAACTCTATGAATAAATACTTTTTGCAGTATTTTTATCTTTCATTGAAGGATTTTCACTATTATGGAAGCTAAAAAAATTCATTTTACTCGATAGAAATATGTTGACCCTAAGAATAGATAGTCGTCGAATCTTTTCAATATTTACATACAAAGTATGATATGACATGACTTATGTAAAGTGTAATTACACGTTTCATAAAAATTAATTAACAATTATTGCAAGAAACAAATTTCGATTCATTGAACTCTGTATAATTTGATATTAAATTTTAGTTAACTGTTGTTTACTAAAGCCTCTCGTATTCGTTTTTAACTTGTCATTGCGTACAGGAATGCTCGATTGATCGAGCTATACGAAAGTATTATTATATTATGTAATGTAAATAATATTTAGAGTTAGATTTCGAGCCGAAATGTCAATGTTTATTGAGCAAGAAATTAGTCGTTTATGTAGTTCAATTCTTTAGCTATACTTTTCGAACATTTTCGAACATTGCTTTACTACGACTATTCAATATAATTTTATTAAGTTGACCTATAATAACAATAATAATAATAATTATTATTATTATTATTATAGAAGTCTGTGAGTTTTATAGGCAGTATTTTCATGCTATCGCGATCGTTATGTAATCAAACAGAATAACATTATTTCACACTTTTTACCAGCGCTTATAGTAAAAACAGGTTTCATGCCATTACTATGAAAAAAAAAATAAATAAATAGATTCAATTACTATTTTAAGCAAGATTGGAGTACATTACTTCTAAATCGTAAGAAGTCATCGTTGCTCAAAAACACCTCCTCCATGCGCAATGCTAAACGCGTATTTCGATAATCCATGTATCCATGACATTCTCCCGCCCATAATCATCATTTTATTAAACGACAAATGTCGCCTCTCACCCAACGGTGACGCGCATAATGCGTGAAATTGAAAATAGCGCAATAATGCCAAGAGAAGGTCGGTAACGCGTGAATTAAAGAGAAGTGCTGTCGAGCAGGTGGCGGGTCGTGATGACGCGATGACTCAATCGTCGTCCCAACAACAGGTGCAACAGCGCGGCCGTATGTCCGTGCCCCCCTTCAAGCCTCTACCCCCGGGTGGTTCAAGACCGATGGCTCAGCAACCCGAACGACAACGTCTCGTTGTTCAGCAGAACACGACTTCTTTCCCAACTGTCCTGAAACAGATGCCCGGACCGACGTTCGCCGCCCTTCAAGAGGACGTCGCGAAACACCAGCAGCGCCTGCAGCTCGAGGCGAAGCTCAAGCAGCAGCAGCAGCAACAACAACAACAACAACAACAACAACAACAACAGCGTGCTCAGCAGGAGCTCGTCGCCATGCAAATGCTTAAGCAACAGCGCCAGCAGCAGCACGAGGCTATGAGACAGCAACACCATCACCACCTCCAGAAGGAGACGGCTATGAGACAACAACAGCAACAGCAACAGCAGCAGCAGCAGCAACAACAACAACAACAACAACAAAAGATTCATTTGCAGAAGGTGCAGTTCCCACAGCAGGCTCTCCAGCCTGCCAATCAAATCAAACGGATACAGGTAAAGCAGGAGCGGGTGTCGTTATCGATGTCATTATTCCTCGATCCTGGATGCTTAAGAACGCGCCTCCCTCGAAAATTTTAAATTGCGAATGGTTACTTGAGCAGGACATTGAGAACGTCGCATCGAATATTATTATAGAACATTTATGCCAAGACAACCTACTTTTGTCTTTAACACGCACGTAAAGAAGGAGAACTGACTTATAATACAAGCAGCAATGGTAAATAAACAGTTGCTTTAATTAGAGATTAATTGGAGATGCTAATCATTTATTTATAAATATCGTGCATTTACTCTGCTATTTTAATATTCGTGTGCCTTACCTGTCGTCCCTGGACATTTATTTGCAGACATATTTCTCTCTCTCTCTCTCTCTCTCTCTCTCTCTCTCTCTCTCTATCTCTGAAAACATCACCATTGTTGATATAAATAATATATGCACTATGGGTTTCAGCAAGTGATGGCTCCGGGAGTCGTCGCGATGCCCATTCGACTTCCAAATTTCGTCGCCGCCGTCCCGCCAGCCGTAAGTGTCATCAGTGCCGACAAAATCGCCCAGCCCATTAGCAAACCTATGGCCACCCTCGCGATTACTGGTGTTGGATTGCCCCCGTTCGTTAGTATGCCAGCTTCCACAGCACAGCTGACCGACAGGATCAGCCACAGTCCGGCACCGATCGAGAACTCTGCCAATGAAGTATATAAAGATGAAAATAATCAGGTGAGTTGAATAATGTCGAGTTGAATACGGTGATTGGATAAATTGCACGACCAGCAATGCTAATTTACGAATGAAAGCTAAGATTGCAGAGTTTTCCCTACTTACTGCTTACTGGTGAATCATGATACGATGAAAATGAATGGTGGAAAAGCCGATGTTGAACTAATTTAGCGATATGGGCCGGCCACTGTAGTGAATAATCGTCCATAATCCGGCTAATTCTTAACAAAATAAATAAATGTCTATGTGAATACAGTTGCCGCTGCCGAGCGACGACATGGCGTCGTCGGTAAATCAGATGACGCTCATGTCGCTGCAGCCGATGAACGTCGCCGAAAGCAGCCGAGTCCAGTCGCAGACGAAACAAGAGTCGGTGGAATCGTTGCCCTCGTTGGCCCCGATCCAGGCCATGGAGACGTCGCTCAAGACCCTCGCCGAGGCGAGCAACATCACGCTCGAGGCCCTCGAGGCTGCCATTCTTCTCAGGCAGCAGCAGCTCCTACGGAAACAGCAGGGCGTCGTCACGACTACCAGCACCAGCACTCCGCGGCCCACCCAATCGACTAAGAAGTATGAATGAACAGAATCTCGTACCACGGGTACATTTTTGTCGTTTTGCCTTTAAAATTGCCGCTTGAGCCATTCAACGTCTGGCGGAGTAGAGTGACTACTGGTCTTATTGACCGTTAAGATGCTTTAGTCTTACCCCTATTCACTAAATCCTACGAGGATAATGATTAATTTAATTATTCGTTTAATCGGTGATTGGAGAACGAGGAAAGGTCGAGTAGAATCAATTTTCCAACTAACCGAATCTCGTCTACGTTAGTCATGCGTCAAATGCATACTACTACTACTACTACTACTACTACTACTACTACTACTACTATTGCTATTATCATTGCTATGTATTTATTACTTTAATCGTCTGTGTCATAAAAAGGCGTGTTAACTTTTGAAGAAGATTTCCATCCTTTTAGAGGATTTTAGAGGAGTCTTTTACGAGCGAAAATTTTCAATTATATCGGAATTTGAGAAGAATTTTCAGAGAATTTTCCATGATTCCTGACAATTATGACGTAGAAAAATATTATCGAAAATGTAGAGGCGATGTCTTAAGTTTGTTAAACAATGGTTTTTAATTGCTTATTAAGGATATTAGATGAAATATGAAAAAGTCAAATATAGAATTTATCGATAGGGACGGGACGATTAACTACGCGTCCACTATAATTAGTGCATAATATAATAATTATTTTTCAGCAAAAGCAATAATTCTGGGGCTACGAAAGTGATGAATGCACCCCGCGAATATTATCCAGTGAATTATGATAAGAATTTTGATGATAATTTCGCCAGTCGAGTCGATCTTCCCGACACTACATTTTACTGTGGCGATCAAAAACATTTTCCAGGACTTTACGCCGATGAAGACCTCGGATGCATGGTAATAATATAAACAGAACAGAACAAAAAACAATAAATCTGTAGATGTAAATACAATTTTCATCATAATTATCATAATTTAATTTTCATTAACATTGGTAAAATTCTTAACGAATGCTAATTATTGCGCATTGCACGCACAGAATATCTGTAATAAGTAATGCAAAACATATGCGTCGATCATCGTAATGAGAATAGCATTAAGTCTCTCACATAATTTCGTAATTTTGCATATAGTAATAAGAGATTTAAATTAATACATAACCCTAAGTGTAATACATTTTTCGTTTTAGGTATTTCATGTATGTGCGCTGACGGATGACGGATTAATAATGAAAAGTTTTCTATGCCCCGAATCGACTCTCTTCGATCAAACCATCCTGAAGTGTAATTGGTGGTTTTACGTCGATTGCAAAACGTCAAAAAGCCTCTACGACAGCAATATTCCAATTAGCAAAAGTTATCAGCTTATGAAAGCTCTTGCCTTCTTCTCGGCATACAAAAGCCATGACAATTCGACACAAAATGCGACCAACAATAATGAGTCTTGAGTGACATTGTGTGACGTTTGTGCTGATTTTATCGTGGAATGAAAGCCGAAGGACTATAAGCTGAATGGAAAAATGCAGTGACTTTTGGCAGCTTATGCTTCTGCGTCTAGAGAACAAATGCTTAAAACGATACACAAAAGTATACAATAATAGTTAAATTACGATAATACATATGTTGTTGTTATTTTAATAATATAATGAATAAATTATTTAAGGAACGCCTGAAATTTCAATAATCCTCTTCCAGTGAGAACGTGCGCCGTTATTATTATTATTATTGTTTTTTTTTTTTTTTTTTTTTTTTTTTTTTTTTTTTTTTTTTTTTTTTTTTTTTTTTTTTTTTTTTTTTTTTTTTTTTTTTTTTTTTTGTTGAACTAGAGTATTAATCATATTATTTAAAATTTACTCCAATTTTCTGATGAAAGAAATTTATAAGAAACAATTTTTGTATATGTCGTTAATTATTTCCATGTGTTGGCGTATGTTTATCTCATCTAATTTTTGTCGATACAAATAATAGCACCAAATAATACAGAGAATCACTTTTTCAATATTTGCTTATAGCTTACATATTAGTATATTGTTTAGATTTATTCTATGTACTTAACACGAATAAATAAAAAAAAAAAAAATTGTTGAAATGTGATACGTCACGTTAATGCAGCGTAAATATCTTGTACGACACGCTTAGGCTCTTGCCTTTTCCTATAATAATTGTGTACATAATTTATTTTCTTTTTAATATAAACACTTGATTTAATAATACATATTATTTTCCTACTCATCCTTGGCCCTTTTTATTGCATTCGTATGAACGAATATTGATGCTAATGAAATAGACAGGAATGTTTTTATGAAGAAAAATTAATTACAATAAATGTGATAGAACGTGCACGTAAACATTGATGATTATCGTTCTATATTGTCAAATTTTTAATTCATATTATATAAAAAAATATATCAATCATTAAAAATTATTATTATTGAAATAAATTCATCGAACGTCATTTAAAGGACACTATTTTTTATAATATAAAATATTTATTGTTAGTAAATTATACTCATCGATATAATTATATAATTATATAATACTAATTATACATAATGATTTGCAAATTATTTATTAAATATTTTTCCATTGCAAATACATATCAATAATCTAAAATATAAAATGTTTTTCATTGATATTGCAATAGCACGTAATTAACAATAATAATAAATGAAGCTATTGATAAAAACTTCTGATTGAATAACAATGTTGTTTTCTACGCACATCGTACTTAATTACTTAAACTACATTGTAATAAATTTATAAATTGTATTTCATAGTATAAAAATAGTTTAAACGTTTCCTTATAATTTCAACATAAATATTTGGAATTACAATGAACGTGAAAGTAAAACAAAATTGATTATTTTATCAGAGCAATTCGATACGTGCATCTATCTCATTTTGTTATATATAAGTTTATTATATCTATTTATAGATAAAATGTAAGCACATTATTTACTCTTGCGTTATAGTTTTATGATTAGAGAAACAGTACAAATAATTGTTGAAACAATGTAATTATAACGACGTAAAATTATAACGTACAGTGAATCATTTTAAATTATAAACTTTCCTTAAAATCATTTTTAAATTAAGGAACATTACATCTTTACAATATATTTTTATATGTTACGGAATCTATAAATGAATGTAAAATGCTTTTAACTGAAGTGGTGTATTCGCAAGTTTTCAAATATTGTAACAATAGTGCTTACGATTAACAAGAAATTCGACTGAGTGCACACAGTAATACGCCAGCAGCAAAATATTTCCTTGGAAGCAGAACTTAGATTTAAGAGAAAAGAGTGTTTTATATTACCCAATTTCATGTGATTTTACCTGATTTTATCTGAAAAACATTTTTATGATTTAGATTAATTTAAACAAAAATTTTGAATGTAAAAATAACATCTAACAAATAATACTGTATATAAGTAATTTTTCTCGTATTTTTAAAGCATAATTTTATGTTTAACTTGTTCGCGTTAAATATTAAACGCAATTTAAATATGTTTATACATATATAAATTGCTCACTATATATATATATAGTGAGATTTAATTTTTCTTATATAATTTATAATACTTCAACAATTATTAAAATGAGATTTTTTTAATATTATCCAATTTAAATTTAAACTAGAAATATCGTATCGTTCGAGAAAAAGTTGTTAAAAAAAGAAAAATCTTATTCATTCGATAAGAAACAATAAATATTTGTTGGTAAGAAAATATTGTTAATAATAAAGTAACCTTGGCAATGCTTTTCAATAAATATAAATATTAAATTGAAAACAAATACAATAATATGACATGAATATAATAGTACTTAGTGCATGTAGTGTACAAAGTGATGATTAAGCAGGTTTTAAAATAAATAAAAAATAACTACATACAACCATCTCATACAAAAGTATTTTATATTATCAATTATCGCGGGAATAAATTATATAAATGTTGTGTGTATTTAAACGAAAACTGCATTTATATATTTTTTTGAAAATGAATATACGTTCCAACCAAATTAATGTATTATATGTAAAATGTAACAATTATAAAACGAAATAATTTTTAAAAAAACGTCGGTGACAAATATAACTGAATCTATTTAAATTAAATTATTTATATTAGTAAGAACTTATCATTTATTGAATTGAGTATATTTTAGTTAGAATTTCTATTTAAATTATATAAATTTGTAATTAGCTACTACAAGACATATAAATTATGGAAAATTTAATAATGATAAGCTCGGGTGTGTCTGCATATATATATTTTATATATATATATATATATATATATATTGAATATTCCAATTTTATTTTTTTTACTTGAACAAAAACTCGTAAAAATCATTAAAGGGAAATAAGCTATCAGTGAGCAACTTTAAAACTACAAATAAAAAACTCTTTTCTCTAGAAGCTTGACAATGACACATAACCGAATAAATTAACTACTGTTTTAACTCTTTGCTTTTAATTAAAAAATTCAAATCTCTTTTTCCAAGTTATTTCCTGCTATCTCATAATTTTGTCATCTCCAATTTATTTTTTTTTTTTAACGAAAGATCAAATTAATAATAAAATATTAAACTTCTTCGATCATATTATACAACCCCGGAAAGTTTAAAAATATTTGTTTTTTATATAAAGAAAAAAAGTAAATCGTGAAATTGTATTTACAACTAACTCTAGAAAAATACTATTTTAGTATATAATTATTAGACTTTTTGAAAAGTAATAGCCTATTAATTGTATAAATCAGTGCTTAAGCGATAAATCGAATTAACAAGAATTATTAAGCTATAAATTTATAGTGACATTCAATTTGTTAATTTGATATAATAAAAATGAAAGTTAAGAAAAGAAAGATAAATTAATACGTGAGTTGAAAAAATCTCTACATTTCCTAAAATTATTGATAATATTAAGTTAAAACTAATATTAAATTTATTATTAATTTGATATTACAGGCTCATATTAATATACAATTCGCCGGTATATTTGGTAAAAAATATTATTGTTCATTACCACCTACAAAATTAGAAACAAACTAAATGAGAACAAAATAATTATAAAATATCGATTCAACAAAATTAGAAAATTTAACAATTGGTATGTTTCTACTGCACCGTACTTCCTCCAATAAATAACTAAATGTATTATACGACTAAATTCTCCCTTCCTAATATCAAACAATAATTTCATAACATATAAAATAAATAAAATAAAAAATGAAATATAATAAATACAGCAAGAAGCTATTAAATTTTTATGATCGCTATTTCGCAAACATTTATTAAATATTCAAGTTGAGTGATTTTATGTACAATGATGAACACTAGAATGACGTAGCTTTGGATTCGCATGCAAAGGCAAAATATTAAACGATGAATTGATACTTTTGCTCGATTTTTCATTAAATTATTCATATCAATTCATTATTCTGCACACTTTCATTGTTTAAATATATCATATTAAGAAATAATTCTAAAAATATATCGACAATACTCACATTAATAAATTCACTGTTCACTAACGAAAATAAGCACATATGTATTTAATAAAAAGTTAATTTATAAATAAAAAAATAATAAGAAAACTTTATAATGAAAAATTTTTATAATGAAAAAGTCCTATAATTTAACAAAATTACTCTATGCCCATTCGTTTATGGAAAAAAGCAGAAACAAATCAACTAGAAGAATTTTTCTAAAGCGCAACTAAATGAAAATAGGAAGCGAAACAAAATAATATGGTGATTTATAGAATCTTGAACATTAATAATTATATATCATTAATTACACATAAAAATAGGAAAAAAGATATTCCATGGATGGAGGAATTTTAATGAAAAATTATTGAATAAACCAAAGCGCATTACATTCGATATTGTTTTGCTCACTATTGTTTAGTTGTTTATTTATATATATTTACAAAAAATTTGTGTATTTTTATTGGAGTAAGCATCAAGTACCCCATGAAGATCCCACAATGATAATTGGAACAGTTTACAGACAATTGCTTATGCAAACAATTACAGTTGGTAAATGTACATATTACATAACATAATTTCAATTTTAGCAAATTCTATTTTTTTACTATAATAATTACTTATTATTTAGTTAATAAGAAAGAAATAATTCTTAGCAGCGATAAATATTACATTACTCTAAATAAGTATTAGAAAAGATATAAGTAAAAAAAGTTCGGTACACTATCTCAGATTACAAAAGTAAATGTTATACTCGTAATTGCAATCAGACGTACATTAGTTCACATACTCACAACAGCATCGGTCCACAATTTATTATTCTCGTGAATATTGAAATATTTTAACTAATTATCCTATAAATTTTCAATACTTCAATTAATGTTCGTTATCTTTTGTAATTTTAATTAATTACTCTTATTTCTAAATAAGAGCAATCAAATTGGCTTTTGTAAACGAATTCAGTAAAAAATGATTGAATATCTCAAAAGCGCGTTTAATTCGAAATTGTTTTTGGTCACCACTGTTTTGTTGTTAATTTATATATATTTAAAAAAATTTGTGTATTCTTATTGGAGTAAGCATCAAGTGCCCCATGAAGACCCCACAGTGATAATTGGAACAGTTGACAGGCAATTGCTAATGCAAAAAATTACACTAGGTATATACGGATATACTTTTTAGTAAATAAATTACATTTATTCAATAACATAATATTCTGATTAATAGTCTTCTACTGGAGTTAAGAGTAACCTCTAATTGTCAAATTTAGAATAATTATGTCAATAATAATGTTCACATTTATTCAAAGTCCACTTTTATTCTAGGTACTCTTTGCAAAAATAGTTATGAAAAATTCAAAAATCATCCATTTCATGGAATGTACATGTTTTTAACGCCAACATTAATGGTGAATGACCCGGAGCTCATTAAACTCATTCTAGTTAAGGATTTTCCACATTTTGTCGATCGCGGAATATACAGTAACGAAAAAGCCGATCCATTAACTTGCAATTTATTTCAAATATATGGTGAAAAATGGAAAACAATAAGAACAAAATGTAGTGTTTTTTTTACATCGAGCAAACTTAAAAATATATTTCCCATTTTATCGGAAATTGCCGATGAAGCAATAAAAGTTTCTAATGAAACTCTAGAGAATACAGACGTAATGGAAATAAAGGATTTGATGGAAAGGTAAATACAATGAAAGTATTAAAAAATTAAAATAGAATTACCAATAATACATTTAATATAATTTATATAAAAAAATCACAATATTTTCTAATAATAAAGCATGAAAATATGTATTTCCAGAAGCAAACAAAAGGGAAAAAATAAATAAAAAAATTTATATATATATATAACAATATTTGGTATATGGAACGTTATGAGAAATAGAAAATTATTAATTTTATATAATTTTAATATAAATCATTCATTTCAGATACTTTGTCGATACAATTTTCAGTATTGCTTTTGGAGCCAAAGCGGGCACCATTAGAGATCCGCAGAATATATTTCGTTACTACGGAAATTTATCACAAATGATGCGACCTGTGCATCTGGCGTTATCATTTTACGCTCCACATCTAATAGACTTCTTTCGAATTCCTTTCATTCATCCTAAAGCTTCAAAATTCTTGATAAGACTATTTAAAGATATGATTGAAAAACGAAAACGAGAAGAAGAAAAAAGAAAAGATTTTCTGGACGTTTTGATCGATTTGATACATAATGAACAAACCATAGGAAAAGACAACGAAGATACATTTCTTAAGGATTTAGGAGAAGGTAAGAAATGTATTATTAAATTAAAATTTGTAAATTATAGGAAATATTATATATAATAAAATAAGAAAAGCAATTGTTTAGATAAAGTTTCCAGAAAACTTACAGTGCTGGAAGCAACGGCACAAGCATTTGTATTTTTTATTGCTGGATTTGAAACTTCAACTTCGACTGTAAGTTTTGCTCTACACGAACTTGCTGCAAATCCCGAAATTCAAGATAATTTGCACAAAGAAATCGATGAATTTTTACAATCATCCGAATCTCTTAATTTTGAAAATCTGATGAATTTGAAGTATCTCGATATGGTGTTTAATGGTACGTACGACAATAATTTTTTAATCGGTTAATGAAATTCCTACTTAGATACATATTTAATAAATGAATGAATAGATAAAATTTATCATTTTATTTATAATATAGAATATGGAAATTATAATATAGAAGATGGAATATAGAATTTGAATGAATCACAGTCGCTAATGTAAATTGACTCGAATTGAAAATTTGTGTTTTTCTAGAAACGCTTCGCAAACATCCAGTAATACCTGTTTTAAATCGAATTTGCGTAAAGGACTATCAAATACCAAATTGCAATTACTGCATACCAAAAGGAATGAGAATAATAATTCCAGTTTCCGGGATTCATCGCGATTCAAAATATTATCCTGATCCAGAGAAATTTGATCCAACAAGATTTAATAAAGAAAATAGCGCGCCCAGACATCCTGGAACCTATTATTTACCTTTTGGTATTGGTCCAAGATATTGTATTGGTAAGAATATTATTTTACATTTGTTTTTATCTTTAAAATACTCAATATATAAATGTAATATATATATACTCCAAAAATTTATTAAAAATTTTCATTATCCAATAATTTTAATTGATTCCGATAATATTTCTCGACTAGAAAAATATAAATATTTATACAATATATTTTGCGTTGCAGGTAAACGTCTCGGAGTTTTTCAAAGTAAACTGATTTTATTTGTTTTATTGACAAACTACAAATTTTTCACGTGTGAAAAAACTCAACCGTTAAGTTATAAAATAAATCATTTTTTACAAACACCCAAATCTGAGGTATATTTAAGAATCGAAAAAAGAAATTCGATAAAAACGTAATCTACAATTTATATTCATTGGATCTCTATTCCACATTAAATTTTGTTAAATTTAAGAATAAGAATATAAAGAATATATACATAAAGAAAATGGATCTCGAAGATATTAATTTAACATCAATTACCTTATCGTTTGAATATTTTCTTTTCAATCTTCATTCACAATGGGAATGATAGCAATAAGGCAGCTGTATGAAAATTAAATCAATCCATTTACATTTAATTATTTAATTACATAACAAAAACCAAGCATTTATCTGCTTAAATCCTTTTTTTTAACTTATATGTACATAACAAAATTATTGTGGCAACTTCGACTGCGATACAAAACCAATAATTTTCGGAACAATAATATTCTAATAAAATACTGCACACTTTCTTTTCTCAAAATAATCTTTGTTACATTCATTATTATATTTTTTTATTAATAGAATAGAGAAAGAGAATTGCAATAGTAAGAATATAAAAGTGTAATATATAATTATATTATATGGCTATATTTAATATGTAAATGACAAAAAATCAGAATAATAGAGATTTTTGAAATTATTACTTAATAATTAAAAAAAGGTTTAGATGTATTTTTATTAAGGAAACAATAAATAAATGAGAATTACAATAGAAGCAATAAAATAGTACAGTAATCAAAATATTATTATATTATTCGAGAATTATTATACTTTTTTAATAAAATGATTATAAATTGTCATTGAATAGTGGAGTAACAAACGCTTAGAGAAATCTATAATAATAATGTTAACTTACTACTTATAAACTTTTATTTTGCTTAGATCAACAAACATTTTATCAGTGAAAAAAATGTATAATTTCAAAATTTCGTAAATAACCAAATTACAATTTATAAAAAAATAAAACTTTAATATTGTTTTAGCACAATGGAAACGAAAAATTTCGTGTTGTGATAAATGATATTACGTGAACGTATATGAGTATCATGAAAGATAGAAGTTGAAAAATTTCCGTGTAGTATCTGAGATTATAAAAGTATTTATTGGACTCGAAATTTAAGTCAGACGTACATTAGTTCACATACTCACAACAGCAACGGTCCACAATTTATTATTCTCGTGAATATTGAAATATTTTAACTAATTATCCTATAAATTTTCAATACTTCAATTAATGTTCGTTATATTTTGGAAATTTAATTCATTACTCTAATTTCTAAATAAGAGCAATCAAATTGGCTTTTGTAAACGAATTCAGTAAAAAATGATTGAATATCTCAGAAGCGCGTTTAATTCGAAATTGTTTTTGTTCACCACTGTTTTGTTGTTAATTTATATATATTTAAAAAAATTTGTGTATTCTTATTGGAGTAAGCATCAAGTGCCCCATGAAGACCCCACAGTGATAATTGGAACAGTTGACAGGCAATTGCTAATGCAAAAAATTACACTTGGTAAATGCCCATAATACATATAAGATTTTCATTTTCCGAAATTTGTATTTCATTACTACAATATTTAATTGCGGATTACTAATTTTTCACTGTGCTTTTTATTCAAAATTTTTTATTATTCCTATTCAATTCAATTTATTTATTTCATTATTCAGAAATAACTAAATATTATTTTGCCGGATGTATTTATTTATCCGATAGGTATTAAACAGTTAAAATTCATTTATTATGGAAATAAGATTTGTGAATGTACATAAGAATATTTATCGAAAATTTGATAGATTACCTACCTAAAAATTACTTGTAGGTGGTTCGTGTAAAAAAAGTTATGAAAAATTCAAAAGTCATCCATTTCATGGACTGTACATGTTTTTAACGCCAACGTTGATGGTAAACGATCCTGATCTCATCAAAGACATCCTAATTAAGAATTTTTCACACTTTGTCGATCGCGGAATATATAGTAACGAAAAAGCCGATCCATTAACTGGCAATTTATTTCAAATATCTGGTGAAAAGTGGAAGATTATAAAGGCAAAATGTAGCGTTCTTTTTACATCGAGCAAACTTAAACAATTATTTCCTATTTTAACGGACATCGCTGATGAAGCAATCAATGTTTCCAATGAAAATCTTGCCAATTCCGACATATTAGAGCTGAAGGATTTTTTGGCCAGGTATATGCTTGTATATATAAATATAAATATAAAAACAAATATATAAATATTGATTTAAATATAATGAGATAACTTGATATAACATAATTAATGTTGTGATTACAGAATATTCACCGATATGATCTCCAGTATTATTTTTGGAATAAATTCCCACAGCGTGAGGGATCCAAATAATATATTTCGTCAATATGGCAAATTAATAATAAAAGCTCAGCCTTTAATTTTAACATTGGCAAGTTTTACGCCGAATATTTTGGATATTTTACACATTCCCTTCATCGATCCTAAAGCTTCTAAATTCCTGAAAAAACTGATTGAAGATCTGATTGAGAAGCGACACCTGGAGAAAGAAAAAAGGTCGGATTTTCTAAATCGATTAATTGATCTGATGGAGACTGACCAGGTAGTGGACAATGAAGACGAGGAATCTCTTATAAACGATATAGGTGAAAGTAAGTTGAAAATTTATAAAATTATTTATTATTAAAGTAGAATCGTAAGATTAACAAATTGTGTAATATGTTGCGTGGAATGAGTGTAGAGAAATCAGTTATGATGTTATCGTATTAAATGCCAACTAAACTCATATTTTGCGAAATGAAACTCTTTCAATGTAAATGATGAAATAATATGTTTTAGAAAACGCTTCGAGAAAACTTACAGTGATGGAAGCAACGGCTCAGGCATTTGTATTTTTCCTTGCCGGATTCCAAAATACATCGTCGACTGTTAGTTTCAGTCTTTATGAACTCGCTGTAAATCCTGATATACAGGAAAATTTATACAATGAAATTGATGAATTTTTGCAATCATCCGAGACATTTAATTTCGATAATTTAATGAAATTGAAATACCTCGATATGGTGCTGAATGGTGAGTATTTTTGTAATTCGATCGACCCGACACTTAAAGCTTGAATATTATTTCCTTCCGGTACATCTGGTATTCCTTATAACATTTTCACTCGATTACATTTACTTTTTCGATTAAATAATTACATGATAGCATTTTCACGCAATTATTTTTATTTATAACATGCGGATAATCGAGTAGTTGTAAATATAATTTTATATGAATAATGTAATACGGTTTAACAACATTGAGTCTTGTATTTATGATTTTTTCTCTCTTATAAGATGTCTAGACCCAAGGATTAATTAATAAATGAAATAAATTAATTGTAAAATTACTTATTACAATCATTGATGATGGCTTACAATTTTTACAGAAACTCTGCGAAAACACGCGTTATTATCTATCTTGAATAGAATTTGCGTAAAGGACTATCAAATACCAAATTCCAATTACTGCATACCCAAAGGAATGAGAATAATAATTCCAGTTTCCGGGATTCATCACGATCCAAATTATTATCCTGATCCGGAGAAATTCGATCCAACAAGATTTTCGAAAGAAAATAGTGCGGATAGGCATCCCGCGACTTATTTATCATTTGGTATTGGTCCAAGATATTGCTTTGGTAAGTTTATTTTGCAAATAAATATAAATAAAAGTAAATCCAAATATAAATATAAACTCAGTTGTATGTGGCCCCAAAACCGAAAAGCTTCCGGTAATATTCACCGACATGACTTTCTTATCCATTATCTTTTCTGGGTCACGATCGCTAAATTTGGGATATTTATCGCAATTTGTTCTTAAACTTGGTACAGACACTCGTCTTTCTCATGCTGGATTTAAGTATTCGCGTAAACGTAAAAGTCTCATAATAGTGAAAATTAAAAATAACCTAAATTCACGAATCGATTGTAAAAGTGCGATAAAATATTTCATTTTTTATTAAAATATAAAATTTCATAAGCTTCAATGGTGAGATCATTGTCATATTATTAAAATTATGTATTTATTATGTTTGCAGGTAAACGACTTGGACTCTTTCAAGCAAAACTTATTTTAGTCATTTTCTTATCTCATTATAAATTTTCATTGTCTGACAAAATGTCAACGCCTCTGAGATATTCATTAAATACTTTCGTCCAGACGCCTAACGGCGAGGTTTATTTACGAATACAAAAGCGAAACGGAATTAATCATTCGTAGATTAAGATTTAATTTGTTTGGAATATTATATGATAATGAAATTTTACACAGCAATGTGATATGCAATATAGTTGTTTATTAAAAGACAATAAATCAATATGTACAGTTACATACGTATAGATATATATATATGTATGTATGTATGTATGTATGTATGTATGTATGTATGTATGTATGTATGTATGTATGTATGTATGTATGTATGTATGTATGTATGTATGTATGTATGTATGTATGTATGTATGTATGTATGTATGTATGTATGTATGTATGTATGTATGTATGTATGTATGTATGTATGTATGTATGTATGTATGTATGTATGTATGTATGTATGTATGTATGTATGTATGTATGTATGTATGTATGTATGTATGTATGTATGTATGTATGTATGTATGTATGTATGTATGTATGTATGTATGTATGTATGTATGTATGTATGTATGTATGTATGTATGTATGTATGTATGTATGTATGTATGTATGTATGTATGTATGTATGTATGTATGTATGTATGTATGTATGTATGTATGTATGTATGTATGTATGTATGTATGTATGTATGTATGTATGTATGTATGTATGTATGTATGTATGTATGTATGTATGTATGTATGTATGTATGTATGTATGTATGTATGTATGTATGTATGTATGTATGTATGTATGTATGTATGTATGTATGTATGTATGTATGTATGTATGTATGTATGTATGTATGTATGTATGTATGTATGTATGTATGTATGTATGTATGTATGTATGTATGTATGTATGTATGTATGTATGTATGTATGTATGTATGTATGTATGTATGTATGTATGTATGTATGTATGTATGTATGTATGTATGTATGTATGTATGTATGTATGTATGTATGTATGTATGTATGTATGTATGTATGTATGTGTGTGTGTGTGTGTGTGTTTTTTTTTTTTTGCCGAATTTTGTCGTGTTTCGTCGGAACTTTAGTGTTTCGATTACAATGTAGGCATATTTGATGTTACGATCTATGCTTTCTATGTATAAAATGTATTCTATGTATAAAAGTATTGACTGGCGATCAAACGATCGATTTTAAAACATTAAGTTGTTTATAAATAATTGCACAATCCATATCCACTAAGCCTCTATTTTCTTTGTCGAGTTATTATCTTTCTAATACGATCCCAAATCTTTTTATAATTGAATCAAGAGCGACGATTGTGCGTAAATTATTATGAAAAGCATTGAGTTGGAGTTGAAAATATTGAAAATTTAAAAGTCAATGCTTTAATTATTTTCACAACCTCTCGTCTTATCGCCGCATCGAGATTATCCGGTATCGCTTACCCCCGGAAGCAACGAACGACAATGCAAGGGATGACCCGCGCGCCACATCATCGGCTGACCCTCAAAGTCAAAGCTCCTACGGTCTCGAGGTCATTATCCTTTATCGCAATCGATTGCCGTGTTGTGCCCGCAGACCAGCAGCTTAGAGCGTCGAGTCGCGCGGTTCGCGTCACCATGGATACACGCGCGCGCGCCTGCGCTCGACGGCCGACCTCAAGACTTCGTAGACCAGCAGCTCCTAGAGTGTCCGGTAGTTGGTACCGGCGACTTATCTCCTCCGCTCGGTCGGGACACCTGCGCCGCTGTTTTCTCCCAGCCGACGAGGTCTCACGACTACGATTGTCCTGCCTCGCGAGGTCGTTGGCCCTATCGGTTACGAGAACCAATTGCCTGGCAGGATATTGGCTATTGCGCTACTCCCCTGCCGAATATTTTTTAATCAAAGGTACTGGCTGTTTACAAACGAATGCTTTCCTGTATTCTAGTAATCTATAATTAATGCAATGGTCTGTAAATTGGTATTTCAAGATCGCACAATCCAAGGACACAATACCAGTCTGCGGATGCGTGATAAAAGCTCATGAAATCGCAGTCGATAGCCTGAGGAAAAAAACATTGCCGTTGAGTTACGGAATGAATCATTGTATATAAAGACTGAAAACTTATGTATATTGAAAAATCGAAAATCGAAACACGATAAAAATGTAATCTGTAATTAATTTACTTTCATGCCATGTAATTGAATGTTTTATATTATTTCTGATAGATAATGACAATACGAACATAATTACATACATGTTGTATTAAACATGTTTTTTGAAGTTAATAAAACAATTACATTTAGTAGAAAATAATTTAAATCATAATATCTTATGAATATTCGCAATGCAAATTTAATATATTTTTATACGCAAATGTATTGCTTTTCTATTGTTATAATTATTAGTGTTTTATTTTTCATTTAAATGATAATTATTGCACTTAACATATCCATTCTAATACGATTAAGATGCTAACTCTTGTATAATTACAACAAACATCATGTTTTACAATTGTCTTCATATTGTTGAAGAAGAAATTAAATATACTGAGAAATTATCTTTCAGATGCTTCTTTCAATAATAAAACAATACGAAAAGTATTCGTTAATAGATAATAAATAAGAAAAATATCGTATGCCCTTCGGGTATGAATATATATTTGAGTATATAAATTAATATCAGCAAAGAAATGTTAAAACATGTATTGAAAAGTGTAGAAGTGTATATTGTGTTAAATCAAAGATCGACTCTTCCATGTTACCGCACTTTTCAGCTATAATTCGCTATAACTTTAATTGACGTACATATAATTTTTTTGGCTTTTAATATCACCAAATATGATTGAATCTTAAGCATAATAGGATAATCTCATGTTATACGCAATATTTAATAATTATTATTAAAGCAAAAAAAAAAACAATAAATAAATATTTTTTTCTAATATATAACTATCTTTTAAATACATATATTTGTAACACTGCTTTTACTTATTAAAAATATCGCACTTACATTTACCTCTGATTTACTTATAATATCTCGACTGTAAATAGCTACGGGGAACATAAACTGCGATAAAAAACCAATAATTTTCGGAACAATAATATTCTAATAAAATACTGCACACTTTCTTTTCTCAAAATAATCTTTGTTACATTCATTATTATATTTTTTTATTAATAGAATAGAGAAAGAGAATTGCAATAGTAAGAATATAAAAGTGTAATATATAATTAATATTATTTGTATACCACCCAATCTACTTTATTTTGTATTTTCGAAGAATAAAAATAAAATGATATAATGTATTAAAAAAAATGTTTTCTTGAAATGTTATTTAAAAAAATGCATCTTAAAAACATGAATTTTAATTGCAAAATACCATATTATTTGTAAAATTCAAGCTTCTTGTATTTATGTATCCAATACCACTAAAGGATAGCTAATAATAACTATTATTCATACATAATAGCAGTGCTAAAGAAACCATAACTGCAATAAATAATACAAAAACCCATATTCATAATTTACTAATGCAGTTATCATTTTCTGACAATGTATTTTACGTTAATAATAATTTCATTATTATTGATGTAACTAATAATAACGAATTTAATGCTCGAACAGAAATATATAATAATATAGTCATTATTATATCATTTGCTGCTAAATGTTGAATATAATACACTAAATTCATTATGTGCACTCATTAAGTAGCAAAATAATTAAACTGAATGAACGAAAAAAAAACACACATTCATGAACATTTTTATTTTTTCAATATGTAGTCAACGCATACATACATAACAGAAGAATAATTCGTCTATTTGGAAAGATGGATACCACTTAATCATCTAAGCGTCGATACCGAGAACATACATTATTGTCATTTTTTTATTATAGTGCAAATTCAATGCAAATTTTTTATTAATTATTCGTAATTTGACTTACACCCATCCGCAATTACGTTTAAAAAAAAAATTAACCGGTTGTCGAATTTCTAGGCAAAACGATTTCAAATTCAATCAGAAACATCCGAGATCAATCGAAATCGGTATGTTCTATCATAAATAGCAAAGTCATAGTTCACTGCTAATTTCAAAGAATAAATAAATAATTTAAATGAAATGATGAGCAAACACATACAACGAATTTCTAAGAAACAAAGGTGAATAAAAATTTTTATACAATCTTGAACAATTAATTTACTTGTCCGATCATGACACCTGATTCCAGTATCAATATATCGAGTCTATCGAATTTACATACGGACTGCCCAACTGATAAACTCAATTATCAAATGCCAATTAACATATAGAAGAAAGTAAACGAGTTAGTGGCTTTCCAAAGAAAGTGAAGCAACACAACCAACACCTTCGAATGATAGCGATAACCGCTCGTTGAATGATTCGCTATATTCGACTAATAAATCGTATAATTATTAACAATTTAATATAAATACAATTATATCTTAAGAATACCCGAATTCTTGAATATTTTAATGGGCTATGCAGCAAATATATATGTATGTCATAAATAATTGTAACTCAAGAATGCTTTAACTTATACAGAATGAGTTTGCTATTATGAAAATGACTCGTCAAAAGCTACATTGAGGAAATTTGATTGAATAATTTCAGCGTAGTCTCTGAGATTATAAAAGAATAAATGAGATTCTTAGCTTCAATACGAATCAGTTCTATGGATGATTAACATCCATAATAAAACACAAGAAAATTTTGTCTGAGGAATTAGATCCTTTAATTTACTGATTAAAACACAGTATAAATTTTTGTATAGTAATGTATATTATCGATCAATAGTTGTGTTTAATTGTTATAACATATTTGTATGAAGAATTTTATTCATTGTGTACTGCTATTTCATAAAAAATGATTGAATATCTCAGAAGCGCGTTTAATTCGAAATTGTTTTTGGTCACCACTGTTTTGTTGTTAATTTATATATATTTAAAAAAATTTGTGTATTCTTATTGGAGTAAGCATCAAGTGCCCCATGAAGACCCCACAGTGATAATTGGAACAGTTGACAAACAATTGTTAATGCAGAAAATCACCATAGGTAAATGCAGATATACTTTTCGCTAAATCAATTACATTTACTCAATGACATAACATTCTGATTAATATTCTTCTAATGGACTTGAGAGTAAACTATAATTGTGAAATTTATAATGATTATTTAATAATACTGTTCACATTTATACAAAGTCCATTTTTATTCTAGGTACTCTTTGCAAAAATAGTTATGAAAAATTCAAAAATCATCCATTTCATGGAATGTACATGTTTTTTTCACCAACATTGATGGTGAACGACCCGGAGCTCATTAAACTCATTCTAGTTAAGGATTTTTCACACTTTATCGATCGCGGATTATATGTTAATGAAAAAATTGATCCTTTAAGTGGTAACATGTTTCAAACAAATGGTGATAAATGGAAAACAATTAGAACAAAATGTAGTGTTTTTTTTACATCTAGCAGACTTAAAAATATATTTCCCATTTTATCGGAAATTGCTGATGAAGCAATCAATGTTTCTAACGAGAATCTAAAAAATAACGACATATTGGAACTGAAGGATTTTTTGGAAAGGTAATATTCTAAAATTGACAATTATACTAAGCTTGAAGAATATAATAGGGTACGAAAAATGTAAATAGTATTTGATTATTTTATAGTTTCATTATTATTTGACATATGATAATAAGTATAACCATTATTATAGTCTATTTGAATAATTGGTGGTCATAATTTCTTTTATTTAATTTTCATATTAATCGTAATAATTTGTTTTATAATTGTAAAATAAAAATTAGCATATAACTTCTGAATCATAATGAACAAAATTATTTTATTATTATTATTCTTTTCAAAAATATTATTATTCTTTTTCTAAATTGAAATATATTTTATTGTATTTCTGAACACAAAATATATGTATAATATTTAATTCTATGATTACATTTGTAGAAACTAATCTTTATATACATAACAAACAAAGCTTAACCATTTCACTGTATGGCTGTTGATATATCAATGAACATTCATTAGCTACTGAAGAATTTAATTCCGTCAACTAAACTATATAAAGAAATTAATACAATAACATCGGACAATAATTGTATTTATTCAAATCCATTATTTGTTCGTGATACATAATTTATAGAAATATGTAGGTGAAAGTAAAAGTTATATTATTCATATTTCACGCGAAAAGCTCGACAGATGCTATTTCGATTCAAATAATACAAATGATGAGACAGATTCAAGAAAATATTCTTATGTGATATGAATCTTATAAAGTAATTATAATATTCTGGAAAATAATACATTATTCTGTAGAATACATAAAATTATAAAATCATTCAGTGTCTCAAACTTAATAATACAGCTTTTCGAAAGATTTATGTACGCATATAAAGAAAATATATATGTACAATATACAGGAGTATGTTTAAATAAATATTAAGAGTATTTTCTTTCAGGTACTTTGTCGATGCAATTTTCAGTATTGCTTTTGGAGCCAAAGCGGGCACCATTAGAGATCCGCAGAATATATTTCGTTACTACGGAAATTTAGCAATTGAAATGCGACCTGTGCATGTAGCACTTTCGTTATTCGCTCCAAATATCTTGAATTTATTTAGAATTCCTTTCATTCATCCTAAAGCTTCAAAATTCTTGATAAGACTATTTGAAGATATGATTGAAAAACGAAAACGAGAAGAGGAAAAAAAAAAAGATTTTCTGGACGTTTTGATTGATTTGATAGATAATGAACAAACCATAGGAAAAGACAACGAAGATACATTTCTTAAGGATTTAGGAGAAGGTAAGAAATGTATTATTAAATTAAAATTTGTAAATTATAGGAAATATTATATATAATAAAATAAGAAAAGCAATTGTTTAGATAAAGTTTCCAGAAAACTTACAGTGCTGGAAGCAACGGCACAAGCATTTGTATTTTTTATTGCTGGATTTGAAACTTCAACTTCGACTGTAAGTTTTGCTCTACACGAACTTGCTGCAAATCCCGAAATTCAAGATAATTTGCACAAAGAAATCGATGAATTTTTACAATCATCCGAATCTCTTAATTTTGAAAATCTGATGAATTTGAAGTATCTCGATATGGTGTTTAATGGTACGTACGACAATAATTTTTTAATCGGTTAATGAAATTCCTACTTAGATACATATTTAATAAATGAATGAATAGATAAAATTTATCATTTTATTTATAATATAGAATATGGAAATTATAATATAGAAGATGGAATATAGAATTTGAATGAATCACAGTCGCTAATGTAAATTGACTCGAATTGAAAATTTGTGTTTTTCTAGAAACGCTTCGCAAACATCCAGTATTACCTGTTTTAAATCGAATCTGTGTGAAGGACTATCAAATACCAAATTCCAATTACTGCATACCAAAAGGAATGAGAATAATAATTCCAGTTTCCGGGATTCATCGCGATTCAAAATATTATCCTGATCCAGAGAAATTTGATCCAACAAGATTTAATAAAGAAAATAGCGCGCCCAGACATCCTGGAACCTATTATTTACCTTTTGGTATTGGTCCAAGATATTGTATTGGTAAGAATATTATTTTACATTTGTTTTTATCTTTAAAATACTCAATATATAAATGTAATATATATATACGTACTTTTAATTGATTCCGATAACATTTCTCGACTAGAAAAATATAAATATTTATACAATATATTTTGCGTTGCAGGTAAACGTCTCGGAGTTTTTCAAAGTAAACTGATTTTATTTGTTTTATTGACAAACTACAAATTTTTCACGTGTGAAAAAACTCAACCGTTAAGTTATATAATAAATAGTTTTTTACAAAAACCCGAAAATGATGTAAATTTAAGAATCGAAAAAAAAACAATAAAAATATAATCTGTAAATTCTTTTATTTCATACCTTATTTTATTTATTCAATTTTATTATATCTAAAGTATAAGAATGAAAAAAGGATATTCAAAGTAAACCGGTTTTTTTCAAATATTAATAAAAGTAACTGGAACTCGAAAAAATTTCATTAATGTAAATTATATAATCGTTTGAATATTTTCTTTTCAATCTTCATTCACAATGGGAATGATAGCAATAAGGCAGCTGTATGAAAATTAAATCAATCCATTTACATTTAATTATTTAATTACATAACAAAAACCAAGCATTTATCTGCTTAAATCCTTTTTTTTAACTTATATGTACATAACAAAATTATTGTGGCAACTTCGACTGCAATAAAAAAAAAACAATAAATTGAATAACAATAATATTCAATTGGATACTACAGACTTTATCTTCTTCAGCCCAAATAGTTTTCTGGTCACAATTAAATAAGACAAGAGAATAAAACCTGAAAAAAATGTAATTATTTAAGTTAAGTTTTCTAGTTAAGGATTTTTCATACTTTGTCGATCGCGGAATATATAGTAACGAAAAAGCCGATCCATTAACTGGCAATTTATTTCAAATATCTGGTGAAAAGTGGAAGATTATAAAGGCAAAATGTAGCGTTCTTTTTACATCGAGCAAACTTAAACAATTATTTCCTATTTTAACGGACATCGCTGATGAAGCAATCAATGTTTCCAATGAAAATCTTGCTAATTCTGAAGGACTAGAAGTCATGAGTTTTTCCGAAAAAAGTAATATTTCTAAAGTACAAAATATATTAAATAAATTTATTTTAATTTTAATACATTTAGTAAGTAATCAACCATATTATTAGAATTAACAATTAAGGTATATTTAGCAGATGGATAGGAAATAATAAGCATAAAGAAAGAGAGAGAGAGAGAGAGAGAGAGAGAGTACAAATTAAATAATCAAGTATAAATTCTCACATTTACCGATTGATAGAATAATAGGTGATAACTAAATTTTCTAGATCAATTTGTACATACTTTAAAATGATGCATTATGGATTATTCCATTATCTAAAGAGTTATTAATACATACTCACATGAATTAATCTGCTCTGCGTAGAATACAATTTTCAAAACCTTTTACAGCAATGGAGATATTAAATATTTAAATGCATGCAAATGTAAAAATAAATAGGAAACTATTAATTTTAATATAAATGATTCATTTCAGATATTTTGTCGATACAATTTTCAGTATTTCTTTTGAAGACAAAGCGGGCACCATTAGAGATCCGGAAAATATTGTTCGTTACTACGGAAATTTAGCAATTGAAATGCTACCTGTGCATGCAGCACTTTCGTTATTCGCTCCAAATATCTTAAATTTCTTCAGAATTCCCTTCATTAATCCTAAAGCTTCAAAATTCTTGATAAGACTATTTGAAGATATGATTGAAAAACGAAAACGAGAAGAGGAAAAAAGAAAAGATTTTCTGGACGTTTTAATCGATTTGATAGATAATGAACAAACCATAGGACAAGACAACGAAGACACATTTCTTAAGGATTTAGGAGCAGGTAAGAATGTATTTATAAAAATTCATAATATTGGCAAGTAAATTTCTAGTCACCAACACAAAACAATACTTTACTAAATTCAAATATACACCTCAAATACCTTAATCATACTAGTTATACAAATATTGAATTTTCGAATTATCCAAAAAAATTATTACATAACATATATATCTATAAAAGCGTTCTATTTATATAAATGATAAAGTATGTAAATGAATGATGATTATTTAATATTGGGGTCATAATAATCTTATCAATTATCATTATACATACATCTTATCAATTTATTTTAATTAGGAAAAAAATTAGTCAAGATATGTCAATGAAAATAAACAGCAATCATTAAAATGTCTAGTCATATTAGAAAATTAATTATTTAATCCGATATATGAATTATATTTATTTTTTTGATCCAATATAAATTTTTACTTTTTGCTGACATTAACGATTTTTTTTAACGAATTTTATCTTCTAGAATACTTAACAAATAAATTTAATATCCATATCCAAAAAATTTATTTTACTTTTAATTTATTCGGAAAAATAAAAATATTTATACTATATATTCTATGTTATAGGTAACTGATTTTATTTGTTTTATTGACAAAGTACAAATTTTTCACGTGTGAAAAAACTCAACCGTTAAGTTATAAAATAAATAATTTTTTACAAACACCCAAATCTAAGGTATATTTAAGAATCGAAAAAAGAAATTCGATAAAAACGTAATCTACAATTTATATTCATTGGATCTCTATTCCACATTAAATTTTGTTAAATTTAAGAATAAGAATATAAAGAATATATACATAAAGAAAATGGATCTCGAAGATATTAATTTAACATCAATTACCTTATCGTTTGAATATTTTCTTTTCAATCTTCATTCACAATGGGAATGATAGCAATAAGGCAGCTGTATGAAAATTAAATCAATCCATTTACATTTAATTATTTAATTACATAACAAAAACCAAGCATTTATCTGCTTAAATCCTTTTTTTTAACTTATATGTACATAACAAAATTATTGTGGCAACTTCGACTGCGATACAAAACCAATAATTTTCGTAGCAATAATATTCTATTGGATACTACAGACTTTATCTTCTTCGGCCCAAATAGTTTTCTAGTCACAATTAAATAAAGACTCAGAGAATAAAACCTGAAAGAAATTAATCTAATTATTTCATAAATAGTCGTTCTTGATTTCGATAATAACAAATTAACCAATTTTTTTATTAATTTCTTTTTAAGATAAAAATAAATTACATGACTATTTTTAATATATCAAAGACAAAAAATTATTAGAAAAATTAGGATTCTAAAATTTTTACAGAAAAATTGTAAAGACGGTTCAGTTGAATTTTTATAATTGCAACAATAAATAAACACGAATTTCATTAAGAATAACAAAATAATAGAAAAAAATGAAAGTGATATTATATGGATCATTATTATTATAATTTTTAAAAAGTTTTTCGTAAACTTGCAATCAACGTAAAGTAAAAAATTATTAGAGAATTCTATATTAATGAGCCTAATTTTTTACTTACATAATTATTTAAGTTGTTTACTGTTAAAATCATTTTATCATTCGAATAAACATATAATTTAAAAATTTAATGAAGGTTAAATAATGAATTTATAAAAAAAATAATCGTTAATAATGTTTTGGTTATTAAAAAGTATATAATTCGTAGTAGTGATGAATATTACATTAATCTATATAAGTATAAGAAAAGATATAAGCAAGAAAAGTTCAGTACCCTATCTCAGATTACAAAAGTAATTGTTATACTCGTAATTGCAATCAGACGTACATTAGTTCACATACTCACAACAGCATCGGTCCACAATTTATTATTCTCGTGAATGTTGAAATATTTTAACTAATTATCCTATAAATTTTCAATACTTCAATTAATGTTCGTTATCTTTTGTAATTTTAATTAATTACTCTTATTTCTAAATAAGAGCAATCAAATTGGCTTTTGTAAACGAATTCAGTAAAAAATGATTGAATATCTCAGAAGCGCGTTTAATTCGAAATTGTTTTTGGTCACCACTGTTTTGTTGTTAATTTATATATATTTAAAAAAATTTGTGTATTCTTATTGGAGTAAGCATCAAGTACCCCATGAAGACCCCACAGTGATAATTGGAACAGTTGACAGGCAATTGCTAATGCAAAAAATTACACTAGGTATATACGGATATACTTTTTAGTAAATAAATTACATTTATTCAATAACATAATATTCTGATTAATAGTCTTCTACTGGAGTTAAGAGTAACCTCTAATTGTCAAATTTAGAATAATTATGTCAATAATAATGTTCACATTTATTCAAAGTCCACTTTTATTCTAGGTACTCTTTGCAAAAATAGTTATGAAAAATTCAAAAATCATCCATTTCATGGAATGTACATGTTTTTAACGCCAACATTAATGGTGAATGACCCGGAGCTCATTAAACTCATTCTGATCGTGGAATATATAGTAATGATAAAAATTCTCCATTAAGTGGTAATTTATTTAATATGCGTGGTGAAAAATGGAAAAGAATAAGAACAAAATGTAGCGTATTTTTTACATCGAGCAAACTTAAAAATATATTTCCCATTTTATCGGAAATTGCCGATGAAGCAATAAAAGTTTCTAATGAAACTCTAGAGAATACAGACGTAATGGAAATAAAGGATTTGATGGAAAGGTAAATACAATGAAAGTATTAAAAAATTAAAATAGAATTACCAATAATACATTTAATATAATTTATATAAAAAAATCACAATATTTTCTAATAATAAAGCATGAAAATATGTATTTCCAGAAGCAAACAAAAGGGAAAAAATAAATAAAAAAATTTATATATATATATAACAATATTTGGTATATGGAACGTTATGAGAAATAGAAAATTATTAATTTTATATAATTTTAATATAAATCATTCATTTCAGATACTTTGTCGATACAATTTTCAGTATTGCTTTTGGAGCCAAAGCGGGCACCATTAGAGATCCGCAGAATATATTTCGTTACTACGGAAATTTATCACAAATGATGCGACCTGTGCATCTGGCGTTATCATTTTACGCTCCACATCTAATAGACTTCTTTCGAATTCCTTTCATTCATCCTAAAGCTTCAAAATTCTTGATAAGACTATTTGAAGATATGATTGAAAAACGAAGACGAGAAGAGAAAAAAAGAAATGATTTTCTGGACGTTTTAATCGATTTGATAGATAATGAACAAACCATAGGAAATGACAATGAAGATACATTTATTAACGATTTAGGAGCGGGTAAGAAAATTAAATCATTAAACCTTTTTAATTATCCGAATAATTTCTCTTTTAAATGATAAGACTAATGATAAAACTGAAAACATATTAATACTAAACTAGACGAAAGAATAAAATATACCGTAGAAACCAATTGTTAATACACAAAAATTATATAATAAAATTATAAAAAAATACATTCAAATCAAATTTTCATGGAAACATTATATATAATAAAATAAGAAAAGAAATCGTTTAGATAACGTTTCCAGAAAACTTACAGTGCTGGAAGCAACGGCACAAGCATTTGTATTTTTTATTGCTGGATTTGAAACTTCAACTTCGACTGTAAGTTTTGCTCTACACGAACTTGCTGCAAATCCCGAAATTCAAGATAATTTGCACAAAGAAATCGATGAATTTTTACAATCATCCGAATCTCTTAATTTTGAAAATCTGATGAATTTGAAGTATCTCGATATGGTGTTTAATGGTACGTACGACAATAATTTTTTAATCGGTTAATGAAATTCCTACTTAGATACATATTTAATAAATGAATGAATAGATAAAATTTATCATTTTATTTATAATATAGAATATGGAAATTATAATATAGAAGATGGAATATAGAATTTGAATGAATCACAGTCGCTAATGTAAATTGACTCGAATTGAAAATTTGTGTTTTTCTAGAAACGCTTCGCAAACATCCAGTAATACCTGTTTTAAATCGAATTTGCGTAAAGGACTATCAAATACCAAATTGCAATTACTGCATACCAAAAGGAATGAGAATAATAATTCCAGTTTCCGGGATTCATCGCGATTCAAAATATTATCCTGATCCAGAGAAATTTGATCCAACAAGATTTAATAAAGAAAATAGCGCGCCCAGACATCCTGGAACTTATTTACCTTTTGGTATTGGTCCAAGATATTGTATTGGTAAGAATATTATTTTACATTTGTTTTTATCTTTAAAATACTCAATATATAAATGTAATATATATATACTCCAAAAATTTATTAAAAATTTTCATTATCCAATAATTTTAATTGATTCCGATAATATTTCTCGACTAGAAAAATATAAATATTTATACAATATATTTTGCGTTGCAGGTAAACGTCTCGGAGTTTTTCAAAGTAAACTGATTTTATTTGTTTTATTGACAAACTACAAATTTTTCACGTGTGAAAAAACTCAACCGTTAAGTTATAAAATAAATCATTTTTTACAAACACCCAAATCTGAGGTATATTTAAGAATCGAAAAAAGAAATTCGATAAAAACGTAATCTACAATTTATATTCATTGGATCTCTATTCCACATTAAATTTTGTTAAATTTAAGAATAAGAATATAAAGAATATATACATAAAGAAAATGGATCTCGAAGATATTAATTTAACATCAATTACCTTATCGTTTGAATATTTTCTTTTCAATCTTCATTCACAATGGGAATGATAGCAATAAGGCAGCTGTATGAAAATTAAATCAATCCATTTACATTTAATTATTTAATTACATAACAAAAACCAAGCATTTATCTGCTTAAATCCTTTTTTTTAACTTATATGTACATAACAAAATTATTGTGGCAACTTCGACTGCGATACAAAACCAATAATTTTCGGAACAATAATATTCTAATAAAATACTGCACACTTTCTTTTCTCAAAATAATCTTTGTTACATTCATTATTATATTTTTTTATTAATAGAATAGAGAAAGAGAATTGCAATAGTAAGAATATAAAAGTGTAATATATAATTAATATTATTTGTATACCACCCAATCTACTTTATTTTGTATTTTCGAAGAATAAAAATAAAATGATATAATGTATTAAAAAAAATGTTTTCTTGAAATGTTATTTAAAAAAATGCATCTTAAAAACATGAATTTTAATTGCAAAATACCATATTATTTGTAAAATTCAAGCTTCTTGTATTTATGTATCCAATACCACTAAAGGATAGCTAATAATAACTATTATTCATACATAATAGCAGTGCTAAAGAAACCATAACTGCAATAAATAATACAAAAACCCATATTCATAATTTACTAATGCAGTTATCATTTTCTGACAATGTATTTTACGTTAATAATAATTTCATTATTATTGATGTAACTAATAATAACGAATTTAATGCTCGAACAGAAATATATAATAATATAGTCATTATTATATCATTTGCTGCTAAATGTTGAATATAATACACTAAATTCATTATGTGCACTCATTAAGTAGCAAAATAATTAAACTGAATGAACGAAAAAAAAACACACATTCATGAACATTTTTATTTTTTCAATATGTAGTCAACGCATACATACATAACAGAAGAATAATTCGTCTATTTGGAAAGATGGATACCACTTAATCATCTAAGCGTCGATACCGAGAACATACATTATTGTCATTTTTTTATTATAGTGCAAATTCAATGCAAATTTTTTATTAATTATTCGTAATTTGACTTACACCCATCCGCAATTACGTTTAAAAAAAAAATTAACCGGTTGTCGAATTTCTAGGCAAAACGATTTCAAATTCAATCAGAAACATCCGAGATCAATCGAAATCGGTATGTTCTATCATAAATAGCAAAGTCATAGTTCACTGCTAATTTCAAAGAATAAATAAATAATTTAAATGAAATGATGAGCAAACACATACAACGAATTTCTAAGAAACAAAGGTGAATAAAAATTTTTATACAATCTTGAACAATTAATTTACTTGTCCGATCATGACACCTGATTCCAGTATCAATATATCGAGTCTATCGAATTTACATACGGACTGCCCAACTGATAAACTCAATTATCAAATGCCAATTAACATATAGAAGAAAGTAAACGAGTTAGTGGCTTTCCAAAGAAAGTGAAGCAACACAACCAACACCTTCGAATGATAGCGATAACCGCTCGTTGAATGATTCGCTATATTCGACTAATAAATCGTATAATTATTAACAATTTAATATAAATACAATTATATCTTAAGAATACCCGAATTCTTGAATATTTTAATGGGCTATGCAGCAAATATATATGTATGTCATAAATAATTGTAACTCAAGAATGCTTTAACTTATACAGAATGAGTTTGCTATTATGAAAATGACTCGTCAAAAGCTACATTGAGGAAATTTGATTGAATAATTTCAGCGTAGTCTCTGAGATTATAAAAGAATAAATGAGATTCTTAGCTTCAATACGAATCAGTTCTATGGATGATTAACATCCATAATAAAACACAAGAAAATTTTGTCTGAGGAATTAGATCCTTTAATTTACTGATTAAAACACAGTATAAATTTTTGTATAGTAATGTATATTATCGATCAATAGTTGTGTTTAATTGTTATAACATATTTGTATGAAGAATTTTATTCATTGTGTACTGCTATTTCATAAAAAATGATTGAATATCTCAGAAGCGCGTTTAATTCGAAATTGTTTTTGGTCACCACTGTTTTGTTGTTAATTTATATATATTTAAAAAAATTTGTGTATTCTTATTGGAGTAAGCATCAAGTGCCCCATGAAGACCCCACAGTGATAATTGGAACAGTTGACAAACAATTGTTAATGCAGAAAATCACCATAGGTAAATGCAGATATACTTTTCGCTAAATCAATTACATTTACTCAATGACATAACATTCTGATTAATATTCTTCTAATGGACTTGAGAGTAAACTATAATTGTGAAATTTATAATGATTATTTAATAATACTGTTCACATTTATACAAAGTCCATTTTTATTCTAGGTACTCTTTGCAAAAATAGTTATGAAAAATTCAAAAATCATCCATTTCATGGAATGTACATGTTTTTTTCACCAACATTGATGGTGAACGATCCCGATCTCATCAAAGACATCCTAATTAAGGATTTTTCACACTTTGTCGATCGTGGATTGTGTGTTAATGAAGACATTGATCCATTATGTGCTAACATGTTTCAAACAAGTGGTGAAAAATGGAAAACAATAAGAACAAAATGTAGTGTTTTTTTTACATCTAGCAGACTTAAAAATGTTCTTCCTATCTTATCGGATATTGCTGATGAAGCAATCGCTGTTTCGAAAGATAATTTATTAGAATCCGATATTTTCGAAATGAAAGAATTCCTAGAGAGGTAAGTTTTTATAATTATAACTTATATTAAGGACTGGAATTAATTTTAATATTTAATGATGCTACAACATTCTGTTTATGTATAATGTAATTTATTGCCTCAATGATGCTGTTTAGCTATGATGTTGATTATAAATTTTATATTATTTATTTTATTTTTCAATATTTTATCTAATTATTTGCAATAAAATTTAATTGAACAATAAAAAAAAAATAATTACAAATCATTAATAATTTATTAAAACTTATGTTCTAATGGAACCAAAATTTTCATCAAGAAAATCATTTAACCAAATTGAATTTCATGTCTATGCGTTTCTCTAGCCTATGTGTATATGAAAAAATAAATTATTATTTATAAATGCTGTCATATAGTTACATAATGAAATAGGAATAGAGAATAATAGGAAACGGAATCTATAATAAAAATGAACAAAAAAGCAAATCTTCCTTAATGTGTCACTTATGGATAGTCTATGCTTGTTCTAATTAATTTATTACATTTTTAATTACCTTATTACACGAACTAATAACCCCACAACGAATAGATGCAATATTTGATTGATCAATGAATTTTCCCAATTTAATCCTGATTGCATCATTAATATTATTAATCCTATTCTTGAGTTTAAACACTTGTTTTCATTAGATAATCGCTCCTTCTCTCTCTCTCTCTCTCTCTCTCTCTCTCGCTTTTTTTATTTATTACTTTAAAAATATCTCGCTTCTATATTCTAGGAAATTTATTCAATTCTAGTTTTTAGTATTTAATAGTATACTAGGTATTTCAGTTCGCAACATGCAATTTATTTAAATGTCTGGTTATATAATACCATATTAAGCATATTTCATTTCTTCATCTTACAATGTTATATTACATCGCAAATTTTAGTCGAAATCAAAGTAAAATATATAATAAAAAAAAGTCACTCATTTCGCCTTCATTATTATATAATATTAAGACTATTTCTCGGTATATGCAGGTATTAATACGCGATTAAAAAGTCGAAAAATCCAATTATTTAAATTCTCTTTTTAGTATATTATTATCGAAAGCAAAATTTTAATCGGAATTTTTGTTCGAAAACGCTACTACACGCTCCAACTACATTTCTATTAACTAACAGTGCATTAACCAACAGTGTATAGTTTCTTAATCATTTGAGCCAAATAATATCCTGTGCACGAACATTCTGACATTCTTTCGTTTACAATATTTGCAATTCGTAAATGCGTCAATAAAATTATGAAAAAATATGAATATTCTTATACTCGTGGGTGATCGTACAAAACGAATAATTTTACATATAGAAATGTATACAAGTAAACATTTAAACCAATAAAAATCCTTTATTTCAGATACTTTGTCGATACAATTTTTAGTATTGCTTTTGGAGCCAAAGCGGGCACCATTAGAGATCCGCAAAATATATTTCGTTACTACGGAAATTTAGCAATTGAAATGCGACCTGTGCATACTGCTTTATCATTTTTTTTTCCATTTTTATTAGAAATCTTCCGCGTATCATTTTTCAATGTTAAAGCAACACAATTCTTTATAAAATTATTTGAAGAAATGATTGAAAAGAGAAAAAATGAAAAAGAAAAGAGGAAGGATTTTTTGAGTTTATTACTAGAACTAATGGAAAATGAGCAAATAATTGATAAAGATAACGAAGACGCATTGTCCAGTGGCATAAGCTCAGGTAAAAAATTATATAGTTTATTAGAAAACATGAAAGTCAAGGCTTGGTTTATAAAAAAATATTTCAGTAACATAATCATTATATGTTAATATTAAGTGAAGAAGGGATTATGTAAACAAATCTGCAATCTTAAATCGATGTTTATAATTTTCATTTAATATTTTTATCTTACGATCAAATATTATTAGCAATTTGTAAATATACATAGAATATTCGAAATACTAGAATGTTAAAATTAAAAACTGAATCTTATGTAACAAATAACTTCAGAATTAATTTATATTCAAAAATAAATTTTTGTTATATTTGTTAATTAAAATAAAATTTTATTTTTACATAGGACGATAAATATCTTAAACTTTCTTGTATATTCTTTAAAAATTCATACTAAACTTTTAGTTTAATTTTATTTTTTACTATTATTTATATGGGATGTATATGGAATATATTAAGGATAATATCAATTATACTATATCAATAATATCAATAATATCAATAATATAATATTAAAATTTTAATTAAAAAATAATATCGAAATATATAGATCTCTATGAAAATGATAAATTAGTATAAATAATGAAAATTAGTTAACAAGCACTAGTTATTCGTTCAAATTTTCATTAAACAGCTTCGATTTCGAATGAAATTTATCTAAAAACTCAATTTTAATATGTGAATATTCTAATAATCATTTCATTAAACATTTCTATAAATAATTATCTAAATAATAATCTTAGGATTAGTTTTACTTTACCTAATAGTTTATATTAATTTTAGTAATATAATATAAATTACCTTTACACAATAAAAATTAAGAAACGATATGTTTTAGAAAACGCTTCGAGAAAACTCACAGTGATGGAAGCAACGGCTCAGGCATTTGTATTTTTCCTTGCTGGATTTGAAACTTCATCATCGACTGTAAGTTTCGGTCTTTATGAACTTGCTGCAAATACTGAATTACAAGAAAAATTACATAAAGAAATTGATGACGTATTAGAATCTCCTGAATCTTTCAATTTTGATAGTTTAATGAATATGAAATATCTCGATATGGTTTTCAACGGTGAGTATTTTTGTAATTTACTCAGCATCAAATCACTTTTCTATATATTATTGAGATGAAATAGTTTATAAAATACAATATAAGTATTAATATTAACGCATACAATATTTAAATGGCGATTAGTAATAATGGTTTTATTCTTTAACAAAAAGTTCCCGATTTACTTTACGGACTATGTATTAATTAATCTACTAGCGATCATCATAAACTATTGGAATAACTATTCTAATTGAAAAATAATTTTAATTACAAAATATTTATTATTTTTAATCAATCCAAGAACATAAATGTATTACTAAAACTGATATACTTTTTAAATCGTTTTATAATTAATTACAAGTTGTATAATTTATAATCTCTAATTATGAATTTGCTAAGTAATTTATGGATTAAAAATTATGTCTATGAATATATTTTATTCTATTGTAATTTTCCAGAGACTCTGAGAAAACATTCGATATTACCTGTTTTAAATCGAATCTGTGTGAAGGACTATCAAATACCAAATTCCAATTACTGCATACCCAAAGGAATGAGAATAATAATTCCAGTTTCCGGGATTCATCACGATCCAAAATATTATCCTGATCCAGAGAAATTCGATCCAACAAGATTTAATAAAGAAAATAGCGCGGCTAGACATCCTGGAACTTATTTACCTTTTGGTATTGGTCCAAGATATTGCATCGGTAAGAATATTTTACTTCTTCTATTACCTTTAAAATATTTTTTTATATATTTCTTCTGAAAACTCATATATATGATTCAATCGGTAATTAATTATTCATATTAATTACTTATTTGAAACTTATAAATTTAATAAGAAATATTCATTGAAAATTATATAATTTATATATTTAATTACAGGTAAACGTCTTGGAATTCTTCAAAGTAAACTTATATTATTTATTTTATTAAATAATTACAATTTTTCGGTATGTGAAAAAACTCCAAAAACTTTGAAATATTCACTAAATTCGTTTGGACAAAAGCCTAATTACAACATATATCTACGATTGACTAAGAGAAAAAAATAAATATTTTATCCTAATATATATTGTATAATATATATATATATATATATACAATATTCAGTTGTCATAATGTTTATTAATAACATTTGTAATTAAATTTCTGGACAATAAATTAATAAAAACTTATTTATTTTAATTAAGTTTTGATAAAGTCAAATCTTTAATTTGATCTTATTGTGCTTATATACTTAGAATAAATTTTTTTACAATATCAATGTATGTGAAAATTTTATTTAAACATAAGTTTAACATTGTAATATTACTTATTAAATTGAACAAAAAAAAAAACTTATGTAAAATTTATTAAATGAAAATGGCATTAATATACTTATGCTACTTATGCATATATTTATAATTTGCCGAGTACTATACTTTTTTTTTAAATAAAGACTTATATAAATAAATCATATAATAAAATATATTGTCATTAAAAAGTATAATTATTTGAAAAAAGATTCCCGAAATTTAACAAACAGTCCGAACAATACATTCTTTGCAAAGTATTTCACACAACGAAACAACAGGAAGCAAATGCCAACAACAAAAATTGCGAGCCAAATCACAATATAATATTATATAAAATATAATATTAAAATCAAGGACCTTAAATAAAAAGTAGTCGCCTTGAACACATTCACATATTTTCTCTTAATAATTAATTAATGCCCTAGAATAATATTCTATATATAATTCCTTTGAAGTTATGTTAATGATGGACAAAACTTATCATCCAAAGCTGCTTGGATAGATCGAGATTGGTCAATCGATAGAAGAAGATTGATAATAAAGTCGATCATTCTATTGTCTAGATTGATTCTATTGATTAGTAGACAAAAGTCCTAATCCTGTATTATATATATATATATATATATATATATAAAGTAAAATGTTAAATATCAGTTGCCTTCATGTTATCGTAAATAGGCGCCATCTAAATTAAATTTAAATCTATTTCAATTTAAAAAAAAAATGTAAACTAAATTTAAAACTACGCAATTTCAATTAATGATAAAATATAAATAATAAGTAATTACCATTTTGTTGCTTATGCAGGTGAATAACTTAATCGCCGAACGTATCGTATAATCATCACTACGATATATGAAGCGTATAGTATCAATTTATTAAATAACTTATTTTATGAACAAGTAAAATTACTTTTTTTTAATTGCCTTCATACAACATGTTATGATTATCTATAAATTGTTCCTAATTTTTCTAAAACTTTCCTGAGCAATTTATATTTGTCGATCAATAAAAATTACAAATCTTTAACTTATTTTCAATTACTTTGACGAAAAGACATAGTTTATCATACTTTGACATAGTTTATAACAGAATATCGAAGATTAAAAATGATGATTAAAAAATCGAATTAGTAAACAGGAAAAAGAAAAACGACTGCAAAGAAATCTAAACTTTTATCAATCAAATGAACCTACATAATATATTTGCATACTTTATCTTTTATTTTATTAAAGAGGTTTGGATACGCAATAAATTCCGTTGGCAGATGGATAAAGAACTAAAAATTTGAAACAAAATAACATTGTACGCGAAAAATGATTAATATAAATATTATATTTGACCTCATAATTTTTAACCAAATGTCGATTAAAAAACTGTTTATAAAAGTTCATAAAAATATAGAATTCATAATAAAATTAAGAAAAACTATAATTAAATAAGATAAAACTATTTATCCTCATTTATGTTTTTATACCAGAGCATAATATAAATCTAATTATAGAAATATTTTTAACTACATTAAGATAATGATTCTTTCATCGACAAATACTTTGAATATATTTCCTTAAATAAAATTTAAAAAAAACAAACATATATTTTAATTCGAAATATGAAAGAAAATGACAAGTATATATGCTAATGAAAATAGTGGTCAACAACGTTTTTAATTAAGCCAAATTCAATTAGATAGTTTACGGGAGATTAACAATAAAGTCTCTCGAGATAATGATCAAATAATAAAGAATGTAATATTATAAACCAAAATAATTCTAAGCTTCGTCTTTAACCCCTCAATCTAACGACCCGAATCATTTCAAATCATTGTACTATCTTATTTCGTAATCAATAATGTACTGAAATATGTCAACAAGAAGATATATTCTATCTTTATTGAAAAAAAGAATACATTATATAGATGAGCTATGCTGCAATCCGCATCGAAAACAGATTTCCATGAAAAAAAAATACACGATGTATCTAATATGATATGAAGAAGAAAAACAAAATTAATACAATAAGAATAACTCGATATAATCTCCGCGAAGGAAGTAAATAGGAAGTATTTTATTATATTCATCAAGATTATAAAAGACGCGGGAGCCCAGTCATAATTTGATTTTGTTATTGTACCGACAAGAGTAAAAGATAAAAATTAATTCCCAAATAACAAGCTGATACACATACCAATTTAAAACAATAAAAGAAACCATAGAACAGTTATGGTAATTTAATTTGTTCTTAAATAACATTCAAATAGAAAAAATCGTATTCCCCGGTTGAAGGGAATTCAGTAAAAAATGATTGAATATCTCAGAAGCGCGTTTAATTCGAAATTGTTTTTGTTCACCACTGTTTTGTTGTTAATTTATATATATTTAAAAAAATTTGTGTATTCTTATTGGAGTAAGCATCAAGTGCCCCATGAAGACCCCACAGTGATAATTGGAACAGTTGACAGGCAATTGCTAATGCAAAAAATTACACTTGGTAAATGCCCATAATACATATAAGATTTTCATTTTCCGAAATTTGTATTTCATTACTACAATATTTAATTGCGGATTACTAATTTTTCACTGTGCTTTTTATTCAAAATTTTTTATTATTCCTATTCAATTCAATTTATTTATTTCATTATTCAGAAATAACTAAATATTATTTTGCCGGATGTATTTATTTATCCGATAGGTATTAAACAGTTAAAATTCATTTATTATGGAAATAAGATTTGTGAATGTACATAAGAATATTTATCGAAAATTTGATAGATTACCTACCTAAAAATTACTTGTAGGTGGTTCGTGTAAAAAAAGTTATGAAAAATTCAAAAGTCATCCATTTCATGGACTGTACATGTTTTTAACGCCAACGTTGATGGTAAACGATCCTGATCTCATCAAAGACATCCTAATTAAGAATTTTTCACACTTTGTCGATCGCGGAATATATAGTAACGAAAAAGCCGATCCATTAACTGGCAATTTATTTCAAATATCTGGTGAAAAGTGGAAGATTATAAAGGCAAAATGTAGCGTTCTTTTTACATCGAGCAAACTTAAACAATTATTTCCTATTTTAACGGACATCGCTGATGAAGCAATCAATGTTTCCAATGAAAATCTTGCCAATTCCGACATATTAGAGCTGAAGGATTTTTTGGCCAGGTATATGCTTGTATATATAAATATAAATATAAAAACAAATATATAAATATTGATTTAAATATAATGAGATAACTTGATATAACATAATTAATGTTGTGATTACAGAATATTCACCGATATGATCTCCAGTATTATTTTTGGAATAAATTCCCACAGCGTGAGGGATCCAAATAATATATTTCGTCAATATGGCAAATTAATAATAAAAGCTCAGCCTTTAATTTTAACATTGGCAAGTTTTACGCCGAATATTTTGGATATTTTACACATTCCCTTCATCGATCCTAAAGCTTCTAAATTCCTGAAAAAACTGATTGAAGATCTGATTGAGAAGCGACACCTGGAGAAAGAAAAAAGGTCGGATTTTCTAAATCGATTAATTGATCTGATGGAGACTGACCAGGTAGTGGACAATGAAGACGAGGAATCTCTTATAAACGATATAGGTGAAAGTAAGTTGAAAATTTATAAAATTATTTATTATTAAAGTAGAATCGTAAGATTAACAAATTGTGTAATATGTTGCGTGGAATGAGTGTAGAGAAATCAGTTATGATGTTATCGTATTAAATGCCAACTAAACTCATATTTTGCGAAATGAAACTCTTTCAATGTAAATGATGAAATAATATGTTTTAGAAAACGCTTCGAGAAAACTTACAGTGATGGAAGCAACGGCTCAGGCATTTGTATTTTTCCTTGCCGGATTCCAAAATACATCGTCGACTGTTAGTTTCAGTCTTTATGAACTCGCTGTAAATCCTGATATACAGGAAAATTTATACAATGAAATTGATGAATTTTTGCAATCATCCGAGACATTTAATTTCGATAATTTAATGAAATTGAAATACCTCGATATGGTGCTGAATGGTGAGTATTTTTGTAATTCGATCGACCCGACACTTAAAGCTTGAATATTATTTCCTTCCGGTACATCTGGTATTCCTTATAACATTTTCACTCGATTACATTTACTTTTTCGATTAAATAATTACATGATAGCATTTTCACGCAATTATTTTTATTTATAACATGCGGATAATCGAGTAGTTGTAAATATAATTTTATATGAATAATGTAATACGGTTTAACAACATTGAGTCTTGTATTTATGATTTTTTCTCTCTTATAAGATGTCTAGACCCAAGGATTAATTAATAAATGAAATAAATTAATTGTAAAATTACTTATTACAATCATTGATGATGGCTTACAATTTTTACAGAAACTCTGCGAAAACACGCGTTATTATCTATCTTGAATAGAATTTGCGTAAAGGACTATCAAATACCAAATTCCAATTACTGCATACCCAAAGGAATGAGAATAATAATTCCAGTTTCCGGGATTCATCACGATCCAAATTATTATCCTGATCCGGAGAAATTCGATCCAACAAGATTTTCGAAAGAAAATAGTGCGGATAGGCATCCCGCGACTTATTTATCATTTGGTATTGGTCCAAGATATTGCTTTGGTAAGTTTATTTTGCAAATAAATATAAATAAAAGTAAATCCAAATATAAATATAAACTCAGTTGTATGTGGCCCCAAAACCGAAAAGCTTCCGGTAATATTCACCGACATGACTTTCTTATCCATTATCTTTTCTGGGTCACGATCGCTAAATTTGGGATATTTATCGCAATTTGTTCTTAAACTTGGTACAGACACTCGTCTTTCTCATGCTGGATTTAAGTATTCGCGTAAACGTAAAAGTCTCATAATAGTGAAAATTAAAAATAACCTAAATTCACGAATCGATTGTAAAAGTGCGATAAAATATTTCATTTTTTATTAAAATATAAAATTTCATAAGCTTCAATGGTGAGATCATTGTCATATTATTAAAATTATGTATTTATTATGTTTGCAGGTAAACGACTTGGACTCTTTCAAGCAAAACTTATTTTAGTCATTTTCTTATCTCATTATAAATTTTCATTGTCTGACAAAATGTCAACGCCTCTGAGATATTCATTAAATACTTTCGTCCAGACGCCTAACGGCGAGGTTTATTTACGAATACAAAAGCGAAACGGAATTAATCATTCGTAGATTAAGATTTAATTTGTTTGGAATATTATATGATAATGAAATTTTACACAGCAATGTGATATGCAATATAGTTGTTTATTAAAAGACAATAAATCAATATGTACAGTTACATACGTATAGATATATATATATGTATGTATGTATGTATGTATGTATGTATGTATGTATGTATGTATGTATGTATGTATGTATGTATGTATGTATGTATGTATGTATGTATGTATGTATGTATGTATGTATGTATGTATGTATGTATGTATGTATGTATGTATGTATGTATGTATGTATGTATGTATGTATGTATGTATGTATGTATGTATGTATGTATGTATGTATGTATGTATGTATGTATGTATGTATGTATGTATGTATGTATGTATGTATGTATGTATGTATGTATGTATGTATGTATGTATGTATGTATGTATGTATGTATGTATGTATGTATGTATGTATGTATGTATGTATGTATGTATGTATGTATGTATGTATGTATGTATGTATGTATGTATGTATGTATGTATGTATGTATGTATGTATGTATGTATGTATGTATGTATGTATGTATGTATGTATGTATGTATGTATGTATGTATGTATGTATGTATGTATGTATGTATGTATGTATGTATGTATGTATGTATGTATGTATGTATGTATGTATGTATGTATGTATGTATGTATGTATGTATGTATGTATGTATGTATGTATGTATGTATGTATGTATGTATGTATGTATGTATGTATGTATGTATGTATGTATGTATGTATGTATGTATGTATGTATGTATGTATGTATGTATGTATGTATGTATGTATGTATGTATGTATGTATGTATGTATGTATGTATGTATGTATGTATGTATGTATGTATGTATGTATGTATGTATGTATGTATGTATGTATGTATGTGTGTGTGTGTGTGTGTGTTTTTTTTTTTTTGCCGAATTTTGTCGTGTTTCGTCGGAACTTTAGTGTTTCGATTACAATGTAGGCATATTTGATGTTACGATCTATGCTTTCTATGTATAAAATGTATTCTATGTATAAAAGTATTGACTGGCGATCAAACGATCGATTTTAAAACATTAAGTTGTTTATAAATAATTGCACAATCCATATCCACTAAGCCTCTATTTTCTTTGTCGAGTTATTATCTTTCTAATACGATCCCAAATCTTTTTATAATTGAATCAAGAGCGACGATTGTGCGTAAATTATTATGAAAAGCATTGAGTTGGAGTTGAAAATATTGAAAATTTAAAAGTCAATGCTTTAATTATTTTCACAACCTCTCGTCTTATCGCCGCATCGAGATTATCCGGTATCGCTTACCCCCGGAAGCAACGAACGACAATGCAAGGGATGACCCGCGCGCCACATCATCGGCTGACCCTCAAAGTCAAAGCTCCTACGGTCTCGAGGTCATTATCCTTTATCGCAATCGATTGCCGTGTTGTGCCCGCAGACCAGCAGCTTAGAGCGTCGAGTCGCGCGGTTCGCGTCACCATGGATACACGCGCGCGCGCCTGCGCTCGACGGCCGACCTCAAGACTTCGTAGACCAGCAGCTCCTAGAGTGTCCGGTAGTTGGTACCGGCGACTTATCTCCTCCGCTCGGTCGGGACACCTGCGCCGCTGTTTTCTCCCAGCCGACGAGGTCTCACGACTACGATTGTCCTGCCTCGCGAGGTCGTTGGCCCTATCGGTTACGAGAACCAATTGCCTGGCAGGATATTGGCTATTGCGCTACTCCCCTGCCGAATATTTTTTAATCAAAGGTACTGGCTGTTTACAAACGAATACGCGTCTTTTTCCCGCAATCGTGACAAAAGCGCGGAGCCTCCCTATTTTACTCATTACCCGCACTCTTTGTAATAAGATTTAACCGTCCACTACTCCGAGGGTGGAATTTATAATAGGACAAAGCAATACTTTCCTGTATTCTAATAATCTATAATTAATGCAACGGTCTGTAACTTGGTATTTGAAGATCTGAAAATATTGTGTAAAGCTGAACGTACGTATATCCTTCTAATAATTTTTTAATAGTCTATAATGAGAAAATTGCAATAGAAATATTATAATATGTGATTCATAAAGTAATTATTGTTTTAATGTATTTATTAATATAAATATTATAGCCGCGCCTGCTTGCATTTAATTTACTATAATTACTTGGGCTCGACGTTATACAGTTTCTTTGTAGTATAATTTACAAGGCTCGAGCCAAAAATCGATCACCTACGTCGAAACAATTATTTATTCCATCATTGACAATCTAATATATTCAACTTATTTTATGATGTTAGACTTTCGAAATATCAGCTCTTAGTGGCGTTTTATTAACAAAATCTTACACCGTATATATTTACTGTTGGAATAATTCACATGAGAATAGAAATATTATAACAGAAATATTATAACAGAAATATTATAACAGAAATATATATATATATATATATATATATATATATATATATATATAATATCCGCTTGCAAAGACGTCGAAGCATAAAATGCCATTATAAGTAAAATTCTTATATAATTCTATAATTGTGTAAATGTATGCGCTTCCTATATATTTTACTTTTCAATGATAATACATTTGGCAATTGTAATAAAGCTCCTCGAACGGCCATTCGTTAAATAAAACCAAACGTTTGTTAATAGTAACAAAGTAATTTTACAAACACTAACACTGGCATGATCACAAACCTTATGCGCGCGATTGAGAAGTTAACTGCCCCTATTGAAACCGGCGACATTAAAGTTGCTAAATCGTAAGACCGAGGAAAGAAGCGTACGAGAATATGTTGTCGAGTAACCAAGGATCGTAGTTCGTACAATTGGAGGAGGTAAATAAAAAAGTGAAATGACTTCGCGCTGAAGTCGAGTATTCAAACAGAAATCAAGCCCACAAGTCCGGTCTGCGGTTGCGTGACAAAAGCTCCTGAAATCACAGTCGCGGGGCTATTGACAGTGCTCGGAGGGGGATGAGGATGCAAGGCGGATGATGAGCGAAAGGAAGTAGTATACACGGCTCGCTTACATCGGTTCGAATGGGCCGACGGTGGTGTCATCCTGGTGGTGGAGGCTACCCGCTGCCATGGCGGTATCGAGGACGTCGCTCATCGAACAGAAGCAGATCCAGTGGGCCAAGGAAAGAGGTAGGACAAGGCCGTCTTTTACCTTATGTCATTGTTTGCTTGTGGGAAAAGCGATTGGCCATAGATGGTTGATCGACGGGGCGGTATGAGGGGTGGCGAGGGGGGTGGGGGTCGACGAGTAACTTATTCGATTGCCGGAGATGTTCGCTGACACGGTTTTGTTTATTATTTGTCGGTTGGTTGTCGAACGATGGGCTTTGAGTAGCCGCGGCATTGTGAAGCACCGAATTCTTCAGTCGTGTGGTAGTGTGGTGGTGAGGCTTTGACGGTCGATAATTCATGCACAACTTCCTTCAATCTACTAAGTACGAGTATATAATTAAATGTGTAAGCCTGTAATATGTGTGCGTACGATGGCGTACAAACAAAGCGATTGAGATTTGCATTTAATGTCTTATAGAATTAGTTGTTCCATAGTCCGCGAGTCTATCGGTACTTTTGCTGGCTATGTAAATTAATTAATAGTCTGGTGGTATTGCAACGTTTTATTTATTAAATATTTATCGCGACATATTGCGTAATGCATGCTTTACAATATTTTTTAAGCATATATTTATCGATATAATGGACTTTTTTTAATATAATTTAATTTAATTTAATTTTCTTCAACTTGACTTATCTATATAACGACTGACTGTCCATACAGCGAAAATAATTCCAATATATCATGAAATAAACATATTTGAAATAAACTTTAATCGCAATTACACAATCCTATTATAAAAGAGACACACGGGCCTACGTTCGAATGGATCTTAATTATTGTTTTTTTACTTTAATGGTATTTCTTCAATGCAGCATTAGAGATGGAAAATCGCGGAGAGACGACGATGGGAAAGGGGGGATAAAAATCTTTAACATAATATGTTAAATTGCGGGCTATTATTTTGGTGAAAAGTTTGGTGAAAAGTAAAATATTAAAATATTTGATATAATATTGGATGACTACGAGAGAAGACACGTGAGTCCGTCTAATCATTAAAGTCTGAGCTTTTCGTTTTCTCGTGCCGGATACGCCGACAAATCGGCTATTCATGCTTTTGTACATTCGACTTAAAGTTCACATTAAAGTTCATGGAAAAATTGTACGTATGCGTTACGACACATACATGACATGCGAAAAACTTTAATATTACTTTTATATTATCTATCTTGAAAACATGAAATTAAGTATAAACTATTTATTACATGCTGTTGCGTTTCTACCTTGTCTGTGATTATTTAAATTTTTCCTTATAAAATGCTGATTATTTATAAATTGTTAGTTTACTGCATAGAATATGTCAATCGTAAAATGATTAATCGATAAGAACGAATTAGTAAGTAAACGGTGAAAACACTTTTTAAAAATTGGGTTCCACCAGGACAACGTCAAAATTTTGAAATGACACTAAATAAGATATTAATTGCTTTTTTCCATCGGATTCGATAATTACCTATGCACAACTAATATCCGCAATTATTATTACGATAATAATCTTCAAATTTTTATTTGCTTATAAGTAATTTTATAGACAAATATCAAATTAGCGGATAAAGTAGATAACGATGATTATTTCAATAGGAATAGATCAAATTTGAATTTTCACATTGATTTATTCTGATGCAGAGGAAATGTCGAGACTTACTAGAAATCATGCACCCCTGGAAAACTGCAGTACTACTCACACGTCGATTCGGTAAGTCACATGTAAAGATAATTTTTTTTATTTTAAAAACTACCCAGTGAGTTACCAAAGTCATTATGGATTTTGTGGGTATATTACAAATGGGTATATTACTGCAGTGACTCGTAAATCGAGTAAAGATCCGTTTGTCGCAGCACATACTCGAACGGCACGCGAATCTCGCTTACGGAGATGAATGGCAAGCAGCATCCGAGATACGCGAGTACCATAAGCTTGAGGAGCCTCGGATCTGACATCGGCAGCGTTTCCACCACCAGTCTCGTCAACCTCCAGGAGCAGCTAGAGCTCGAAAGGACGTTGCAACGTCGTAGCCCGAGTCTGCCTCCCATCTACAAGCACGAGCACCGATATCGCGTGAGCCCTTATGTTTTTCAAGCCCTACGGCACTCTGCGCCCTTATTGCTCGACAGCTGATTTTCAGTGCACTAGGTTACATGCTTACCGGGACGATTTAGGCAAAGCACGTGGAACAACAATCAATTTCCAATGCCGTTGTGTGATGATGAGACTTGCCCAATTCCCTTGAGGCTTTACTAAACAAAATATTAATCTTACATTAATTGCAATACGAACCTTATCAGTATATATATATATATATATATATATATATATATATAGATGAGAAATTATTAATCTAAACGCACGCAGAGAGCCTGAAGCATTTGATAACAATTAATTAAGACTACCAACAAAGAAATTGTATGGCATATAGTTGCAGAAAATTATTGCTTTACCATTTAAAAAATAATACGTAGGAAGATCGGTAACTGATTGGTAAGTGGCATGATAAGACGACACGAGCACACGCGTATGTAATTAAAGCGTAGTTGTCGGCATTGAATTTTGTCGTGCTTGTATTGTTCTTCGAAATAATTTGTTATAACCAATGTCGGGAGTGCTATATTATAGAAACTGTTTTAATAATTTAATAACCAAGGGTAATTATTATTCTCGGTATTAGCTAATACAGTCTCAGAGAGGTGAATTTCAATTTTTCGTAAATCAATACAAAATAATAATATCATGTACTGGTCAACATTATCATAGACCTAATCATCGTTTGAATGAACTACGTACGTGTGTGATAATGTAAAGTGTATAAATATAAAAATAAAATTTCCTCAATGTCCTCGAATTGCCAGCGCGTTATTGATAGAAAAATAACTGACTGCGCGATATACTTCTTGCAAGCTAATTCCACCTTACGCAAGCTAGTGTTCCTTACGAATGAAATATCAAAATCCATATCGTGGAGAAACATTCACCGCATCCAGCTCGAAAATCTCTCTCTCTCTCTCTCTCTCTCTCTCTCTCTCTCTCTCTCTTTCTCTCTCTATTCATCTATAACGATCGTACAGCAGTCGATCGACCAGTGCGCTCGTTACCCGAAAATAATAGGAATTTATACAGCTCGGATTTCCTAGCGTGCGAGTAGAGAAATGAATTCAAGGGAGAAGGTGCGGTAAATACGAAAACTGGGTTCTTCGGAATCACGGGAAGCGATCGCGCGCCCATTGACCCCCTCGTACAGTATGCTTCTGTCCTGCTTGCACGTATCCCTTTGTGCCTGGTTCCGCGTGCCAAGGAGCGAGTCGAGGTGAAATTGCGCCGCAACATGGAGTTGGCGTGACTTGGTCATGGCCCATCGGGACTGGAGGGTAAAAAAGGGAGAGGCCAGCGACTTTATGTGTCGGAGAACAGAGAGAGAGAGAGAGAGAGAGAGAGAGAGAGAGAGAGAGATGATAGACTCGAGCTTGGGTGAATCGATTCTTGGCGAGGCGTTCGTTGACCCGTTAGAGAGCCAAACCGCGTACCAACAATAAATGTCTTAAGATAAGTTTTTATTGTTTTCCAGTGCTAAATTAATGCAAAACTCGTGTGCACAAACTATCGCGGTTTACGGTTTTTCCTTTCTTTAACGAAAAATTTATTATTACACGTACGAGAACCGACGATATCACTCCTCCTTGGCCTTTTATTAACACCTGCACTTAAATTACACATTAAGTTGTGCAAATTTCATTCCTTCGACAAAATATTTCAAATCATTTACAAAGTTATTCTACCGGAGGAAATAAATAACGGAAATCTGAACTCGATATCGGCTTACAATCATTACGCTTGATAAGCGTTTAGAGAATCGTATAAGAATCGTAGAATATAGCATAAGAGATAAATGAAGGAATAAATTTCTGACTTTAACATTTCTCAAATGTAGTAATAAAATAATAAAATCATACAATGAACACTGAACAATGAAATTATTATCAACTTCGTGTGAAATTAAATATTTAAATGATTAACTAACTAATTTAAATAATTAAATAAAATACAAGCTTAATTTAGAATAATGAGTTATGCTGAATTATACTGCAGACATTTTAATCAATTGCAAATTACGAGAATTACTAAGGAATTATAGAATTTACGAGTTTCATAAAAAATACCAGCCACTATTATAATTTATTGATATATATATAAATTATTTGATGAAAATATCCGTAATTATTGCAAAAATATTGAGGTCCTTAAGGTAACTCTGTACACGTAAGCATCAATATTTTCTTAAATTATACGCCCAACATTAAATCAATTAATATCTATAAATTTTTATTTTTTATATTATTTTTATTTATTTTTTTTTTTAATCTCCATAATGACACGTAATTATTTCTTTAATGTTTAAACCATTAACGTAATTTTCAAGATATTCTATTTCCCTTATATTTCGATAGTATCCACATACAATCTGTAAAAATAATCCATGGGAAACGCGCTCTATCCATTACACTTTAATAACTCCCTACTTCTAATACATCTTTGTCTTCTATTAATATAAACGGCTCAATAAGTGTTTTTCATAAATAAATTGATTAATGTTAAACATAATAAATAACTTTAATGCGAAAATGTAAAATATTATCTGGATAGCGGAATGACAGACGCCCGAGTGTACATGGCATTCTCCAAGTCCACTTGGATGGTAATTCCTACACTCACACATGTCTAGTCGTATGTGAAAATGATTATTACCATATTGCACGTGGCCACCTACTGGATCACTTCTCGTACTACTCGTTGTCAAGTTGTTGTAAAGCACCGACTGTAAACCATCTCCTGCACGTACAGACGTTCAATTTCAATCTTATAATAACAAAGTTTACCAATTATTTAAAAGAAAAGGTGGCTATAGATCTTTTATAATCCGAGCATAGCGTGATTAAAGATTTTAAAGACTACGTAACTATTTAAGATTATAAATTCATACAAAAAAAAAAAAAAAATAATAAATAAATTCATTCATTAACAAAAGTGGAAAAATTTACCCTTATTACCACTTGTTATAATAAATTAATTAATAATCGAATTAAATTAGTACGAATATACAAATTTTTCATAAATCTTTAAGATAAAATAAAAATTACGACATTGACGAAATAATCTTTCAGTCTTCAAGTTCGTACATTAATAGTAGGACAATTTACATTTCTATTGCAAAAGTCTTGTAATATTAAACGCTCATTTGTAATTCTATAGTTCGTATTTGATAATTGTTTTGAAAATATTATTTTTATTTTGCCGCCGCCCCCCCCCCACCTCATCTTCATGAATAAAATAATTATAATTATAAACATTGACATAATGTCATAAGATCACTGAAAATGCATATAGAATTTTAAAACAACCAGTTCTATAGAAATTTATAATCAATGCGTGCAAATCGAACATTTAACAAAGTAGACATTTATACAACAATAATTTAGAAGTTTATCGATTATTAATCTACCAAAAGGGAATTTTAAGTTGGCAGCAAAGTGCTGCATTTAAGTATTTAAAGGTATACGATTGTAGTCTCTATTTGGCATTATACATAAACTAGAGCATTATTGATTTGCTCGATAATAATGTTACTTTTCTTATTCCGTTATACCTACGTACTGATTTTTTTTTCTCCTTAAGAGTAAATCATTCATAGAGAATTACGTTTTTAGAAAATCATGCCGTACAATCGGCCTTTAATCTTACTTATCACGAACATAATATGGGTGCATTTATGGGCTCGGAATAATGTTATACTTACCGACAAAAACTTAGACTACTTATTTTGACGCTTTGGCAAAATTATTTTTAAAATGACGCACAAAATATCTAACTATTTAAATTAACGGCTACGAGTTAGGTAGCTTCGATACATAAGCCCATGTGATTTAAATATGAACAAGTCCGTTTATTTATTTATTTGTTGTTGTTGTTTTTTTGCCACTATTGTTTTTGAATATCTAGAATAATAAATATATGGTAAAAAAATTAAGTTTAGATGTATTGATCTCGATATAGATATACTAAACAAATACTACTTTAACCGATCCTTCGAACTATCAAACCTGCCAACTGTATAGTCGTAAAACTTGCAATAAAACTTGTTAATAGTGATACATTTATAGGTGCATTTGCAAAGGAAAAATGTAGATTAACAAATTAAATAATTCTTAATTATATTAATAAATGCTACGCTATGTATTAGATTATTGTGAAATACAAGAAACTGTAAAAGTCTACGGTAGATTTATGAGTGTTTAAAAAATTTTCCTATCTATGATACTTTACATAACAATAGACAATAAGCCCTATTGCATGAGAAATAAAACATCATAATTAATCCTCTTAAAATTTTATATAATTAAACGATCGATTATACTATCGTGATATGAAATTTTCTCTTATAATAATGAGCTTCTCCGTATTCATCAAATCGAAAATAACGAAAATAACGTGTTGCTATTTTATCAAGAGCTACTATTGGATTTAAATAAACATTGAAAAGTAATAATAAAAGTAAACGAACGAGTAAAAAGGAAATATTGATGACATGACAAACATCGTGTTTATGCTGAAAGTCCGTATCGAATTAACTTATTTTGCATGCCATGCAATAGTTAAATTACCTCCTTTCAATCTCTGACTCTCGTCATTAGGAAAGAGGATAGATACATCATCCGGTCTATTAATATTTTTAGTCGGCAATTTGGTTGATTAAACGACAGATATAAACGTAAGCTCTAAGCTGTAAATAAACAATTGTCCTTTGAAGTATAAATTACGAATATTGACATTTACGTATTTACACGAGATATATTTTATTTTGTGGAAAAAATTTGCACACATTATCATAACTTTAAAGACCTAATTGTAAAATCATAATGATTGTTATTCTCGATGTTATTCTCGAGCGTTTCTTACATCATTTAAATAATTATTCGCGTAATTGCTTTTGTAATTGCTCTTACATCGATATAAATTATGAATATTGAATTAAAAAACTTTATATTGGTCATATCGCTGAATATGGGTCATGTCAGGCGATTATAAATTTCAAAACAAAATTTTCAAAAGACTCACATGCTATACCAAACCTTTGGGACAATAATATTCTACATTCATCAATTTATCAACAAATATATATCACAATAGGCAACAATAAATGTTCATATTATTTTTCAAGTAATTGAAATCTTTATAAAAATCTGACAATACGTAATAATCAAATTGATATTTATTTATTTACAAGCCCTCTTGTTTAGGTTTATGTTTTACGGTGATTTCTTGAAAAGATAAGTCCATCCGGCTTAAAAGTAAAATATTCTGTCTAGAATTAGAGTAAAACCACCGGTGGTCTGGTGGAGGAAAAAAAAAGTGGGCAAGTGGTAGGGACAGCGCATTTGTTCAATATTTAACACATTTGATTTTCGTGCTTGTTTATTGCGTTTTATTTACAACTACGCTATAATGATTCTGTGGTGACTATGAGATTCGTTGAGATCTTGCAGTTTGGTGATGAGTGCCACGTGACGTTAGCATGCACTACATACAGAGGTAGGAGATCGTAAATCTCCGAATCCTTATTACGTGGTGTGCTTGGTGGTGTAAGTGTACCTTGGTGGTGAAGGACGTGGCGGTAGCTTGAGTGTGGCTCTCCTCTGAGATTATTTTGCCTCGTACGGCTCCTTGTAGTTTCTTACTTCCAACCCCTGGCTCTACCGATAGTCTGTATGTGTAGTGTACGTATATTGCACTTATTATGAAAAGGACATGAATACTCTACTGTTGGAGAGTACATCCATGTTTCTTGGCGTTCCTTGTAAGAGAACCGTCTGTGTTGTCTCGTTGTTGTCTCCCTTGAGAGCGCTCTCTTGACTACCGTGTCGTCATTTACGAATTCCCTCTTCCTTGGCGTCTCCAATCAGAGCGTTTCATACTCTTACGTCTCTGCTTAGTATTCGATGGCTTTACTCAGTATAAGAAGGCCCTTCCGTAACAGCTGTACAGACAATGTGACTTGGTAGAACTACGATCGACTACCTCATGACTGTGTCAGCGCTTATCTCATGTCGTGCTTGTATTAAATATCTACGCAGTTGTTTGGTTAACCGAAGACAAAGGGCCGATCATAGCGCTTGAACAATGAGTTTGACTATGGTGCGAGAAGCAATGGGGGTGATTGTGCACTCATTTCGGATGTCTCGAAAATTCCAACCACCATCAGCAATTCTACTGATGATGATTCTCCTTTCTCAGGGATGGGGAGAACTGCTAGCTTATGTATAGGTCTTAATATGGTTGTCGACGCTGTTTTTAATGTAACTACTCTGGCCATTTGCAAGGTGAGAAGCGCTCATCTATGATGAGTACCAACGGTCCAATCTTAAGATTGGAGATTGATTGCTACCGTAGTAAATAGTGAGTTGACCATTGTGACCAATATTGTTGTACACGTTGTTGAAGAAATTGCCAGCGAGCCAAACCTGACATTGACAATCCCTTGAGAGATGGTTGTAGAGACAACAACTGGACTGGTCGCGTTGATCGCGTCTAGAATTATTGATTGGAATCGGTTTGAGAACATGGGACCAAAGTAGATAATCATCTGAGAACTTCTGAATTAGAAGATCAGGAAGACGGGGCTATTTTTGTGAATGTTCCTGGCGCCAAATTTAAACTGCGCTAAGCCTCGTACAAAGCAGTAGAATTCCCAATAACACCTCTCCACGATCGTCCTTCCACTTCCCCGAGTTGTTGGCCATCTCCAGCAGTAGTAAATATAAAGCCAGCCATTCTCAATTAAACCTCCGGATAAGGTTATCGCGAAATTTCACACACCCGAGCTTTTCGGTCACCTCGCCCACTTGTACCCTTTGCCTCGACCATCGACTACATAGACTTATTTTATCACCTAACAATTTCACCAACGTCTCGCGTGCTCGCAGGTCGGCGAGCAGCAGCACTGCCAGCGTCCCTCGAGGTCCACCCAACACACCACTCTGGAGAAACTGCCGCAGCAGCGCTGCTCGAGGGCCCCGGAGGAGCGCGAGGGTGAAACTTCCGGCTATGCTAGCGACAGCCTCGAGGGTCCCATTCAGAAGCAGCAACAATCGCAGCAGCGGACCCTCGTGCTGCCCTGTCACGGTAAGAAATTCGTTTCCGGCTGGAGATGCCTGCTGGCTCATTGCGAAGATTTGAATTGACGAACGCCGACGACCGGATATTTCCCTAATCTGGGTCAGCCAATGTAATAGGTCAAGAGGCCCTGTCGGATAAATGACTCACTTACTCTCATTATATTGCGATACAATTGTCAGCTATAATTCGCTTTAAGGCCTTTTCAACAAAATTTCCCATTTCTTTGATAATCTGATATCTTGATAATATATGTATGATATTAAAATTGCCGTTAATGTTATGTAACCAGCTCGACTAATCGATCGCTAATAATGTAAGAGGACGTGGACTACTGGTTACGCGCATTACAAGTGGAGGAAAAGACAGGGAGAAAAACGAAATACGATGCACTCGAAATAATGCTCCGATATGTAAACCTCCTGATCTCCTATGTGCAGTAAATTGCGGTAATCCGGAAGTAGCAATGGGCGAGAAGACCTGGCAGAATCCGTACCAGAGCGACGAGAACTCGCTGCCGTCGTCGAGAAGACTGGCGAGCCTCCGGATCGGCGAGTTTAACCGGCAGCGCTGGGGTGGCGTCTGGGGCCAGGAGACGTCCAAGGATCTGCCAGCACCTTCCTGGCTCGAGCGCGGCTTGTCGCGTCTCGATCATAACTCCCAGGTACCGAGCTTTAAGGCGCTTAGTACACTCGGACATTCGCTATTCGGAACAATTTATTCGTTATTACTATCTTCGCGATCATTATTGCTCTCGTTTATGCAAAATCGTCGCAATGCAATAACCGCGGCAAATCTAAAATTGTTAATATACAGAAGCAAGGTACATGAGAATGAGTCGGTCGGCTTTGGAATGGACGACTCTGGTGCGTTGGTATTCTTACTTCCCGTATAATGATAGAATTTATTCTTTTTTCTTTTTAAGGTTTTAGTGATAAATCATGATAGTGCAAGTAGCCCGGACAGCTCGACTACTGGATCTCTCGGCTCCGACATAAATAAAACGTATCTGAGGGGTCAAAATCTGCCGATCGACGCCAACATCCTGCAAGAACGAGAAATAAAGCGTCAAAAGGCTTTGGAATTGCAAACGGCGATAAAGCAGCAGCTCGAGGAGCGAGAAAAACAGAGACGGGAAGATAAAGAGAAAAAGCTCAAGGACGAACGGGCCGAAGAGGAGAGAATCAGACGAGAGAGAGATCTTGAAAAGCAAAGGTTCGCTTACTAAAAACGTTACATTCGCAAATTGATAAAAAAATTTCAATTGGAATGGAAACTTAAAGCCATGCGTCAAGATACGTATGACTCGTTATTTGAAAACTATTGCACACTGATACGAAAAAGCACCCACGATATTGCGATTAATGATAGTGAATAAATCATACTCGATCCCATATAACCGATATAAAATGATATTCCGATTGCGCTGGATGTAATCTATGTTGAATTTAGCATCTCTAAAAGAAATTCGAGCGTTGCATTGACACGTTCCATCGCTTCGAAATTATCTCCCACGTAGCTTTGTACATCCCCTTCGATGAACTTACATTGAACTTTGAAAATAATCTTAACTCATTTGCAAATAGTGTTCCCTAAGTTCACTCAGCATTGTTTTACAGACAAGTTTACATTTACTGACAAGTCGATTGGACTGTCGAGTAGATCGGTTTGATCCTCTCATAGCTCCTCGCTCTTTAAACTTCGTCGCATGAGCCGTGTCGGGCGTTTTTTCACCAAAAGCTCGAAGCATCTCGAAAGTCCAAACGAGCAGACACGTGTCTGACCCCGGCCATCCCGTAGATTCGAGGATGAGCAGCGCAAGCAACGCGAGCGCGAGGCCGCCAAGCTGAAGAAGACCAGGGCGCTGCAAGAGATCCTCGAGGCGGCCGAGCGCAAGGCGAAAGAGGAGAAATACCAACGTCGACGTCACGGCGACTCGTCGCCTCCCGGCACCGAGGCCAACAATTCAGCCGGCGGTGAGGCCTCGAGGTCGACACTGCCGCAACAGATCGACAAGGAAGCGAAGGAAACGCATAATCGACGGGAGCTCAACGCCTCGATTGACTCACAGTAATCACCGCTTTTACGTCGCTCTCTGTCTTTTGTAGGCTTTCGGCTCACTAATTCGGCCAAACTAATCTCGCGAATGGCAATCGCATGTACATTGCATTTGATTTTATTGCGGCTGGTAAGTAGCGAGTTGCTCGTAATCGTAGTTTATTTTATTATTAATGTGGATGAAGCGTTGGTAGCCAGGTAGAGGGACTCGAGAATTGTGAGTTTTGTAGAATTTTACGCTCGAGATTCACGATAATGTAGCGCTGTATATTTCCTTTAATAAAACTGCTTAATTTATTCGAGAAAAGTACGCAAAAGCTACTACTATTCTATATTATATTCAATAGTAGTACTCGTCCACGCGGTATTGTGTATTTAAAAAAAAATTCCATGGGGTTTCAAGTCTTGATAGTTGTTTTCAATTTTGCACAATGTATACTCTGCCGTAATCGCGAGTAAAAATAATAAAAAAAAATATATAACATTCCAATTGTAGTGCAATGGCATTGAAATATGTAAATAATACAAACTCTTATTACGACTTTCGAATATCGAATTTTGTTAAATACATTTTACTCAATGCGCCCTTACTTGTATCCTTAGTGATAAATAGTAGATACGTCATCACGATTATCGTGAAGAATCTTTAGTTTATAAGTAATCACAACATACAAACGGAATTTACTTATTATTTCAAATACACAGCAAAGTATATGTGTTTTATAAGCAAAACTTTTCATGTCTATAAATCTTTGCAGCAAATGAGACTGTGAAAATTAAATTTAATAACTCTATATAATGTGTTAATTATTTATTTATAACAAATACCAAAATCATAACTCATTTCTAATGATAAAAAATGATGATGATTCATGGACGAACGTGGCAATGGAAATTTTCAAGTTCCATTCACCGACTAAATTTTTTTATCGGACATAAGGTATGATGATGATGTTTTTAAATTTTACCATTTTTTATCGTCCATAGTTATAAAATTTGTGTTTATCACTTTTTAGTGAAATATCATATGAAAATATCATAATTCATGTATTGTCGAATCATCTTTAGCAATATTTCAAGCAACATCCTTTAAATGATAATTAAAGTCAATGCAGCATAATACCGATTTATAGTTAAATGATTAAATTACTATACTAGCCGCATCTCTTTTGCATGAACAAGAAGAATTTTATATTTCATTCTTTTAAAATTATCGAATGATATTCACTTGCCTTATGAGCTCATTATTACACTATCTTACACTCATTATTTTGTAAATTCATGTGCATCATTACCTCATATGTGTGCATGTAATGTTTATTATTAATTGAAAAACTTGCAGCGATCGTTGTATTATCAGGACAAGAAAATTTATTATAAATGCGTCAATTTTTTAAATATTAATTGTAATTTAGTTGTTTGGGCTGCTCAATTGTCCTATACATTAAATATCCTTGATTCAAAGTTCGAGGATATCGTCGCTTCATCAAAATTCTATCTTTTACATCTTACATATTTTCTGAAGCAATTTTCACTTTTCTTCATTCACGATCTCAAGTCAGGACCAATGTACATCAAATTACTTTCAATTATGATATCTTTCGGCCTTCGTTTGCTGAATGTCGTATCTAAATTCTGGGAAAGCTGTAAATTTTCATAACAATGTTCAATGTCTTTGCTTTTAAAAAGTAAAGGATTGAATATTAATTGCAAATGAATCAATACGTTCGAATGAGAATGCATATATGATAAATTTTCTGAGACGCGCTGAAAAATGACAATCTGCTTTGCACAATTGAAAATTACTCATTTTCATCGCATGAAAATGACCACTTCACGTCAATATCCATTAATGTCGCACCGACCCTATTTTTCATAAAGAAAAGCCTGTTATACCTACCCTCGCCATCGGCCCGAGCTTCGCCTGCGCCTAAAAACCTCATAATTTCCAACTGCGTTGGGGTAATAAAGCAGTGAGGGTCGCGAGGGAGTTTCCAAGCGCGAAAATAAAATTAATGAAAAAACGCAGCGAGAGCTGTCGAGAACCGGGTGAAGCTTTGCAACTGCCAGTAAGCCAAGACGTGGCCATCGTCCTGAGCGGGCGCATAGAAGACCCGGAGCTGCTGGATGGGAAGTCACCCCTGAGGCTGGTCAACCTCGTGGTGAGACCCTCGCCGCGCACGAGGCTCGAGGCGGACCTTGGCAGTGGCGACCTCGGTGCTCTCCTCGACGGTCTCGGAAGTTCCTTGATCCTGCAAGCGACCCGGAGGACCTCGCCCCTCCTCGTGGGCAACCGACTCCTCACCCCGAGCAAGTACAGGATACCGAGTGGCCGCGACTGCAGCACACAGACCGACTGCGAGGATGAGAATGTCACGGTCAGTCTAACTTACGGGGACGAGGATTATTTGCATATCCATGGAATTATTACATAAGGCTTCTAGATGTTAACATTAGGATATTCCAAATAATGAAGTGCTTCGTGTTTTTCTCCCTTCTTTAAGGATTTTGCGGAGAAGGTTCGAGCGAAGGAGGGAAAGGAGCGCAAAGATGCTAGCAATATCACACGCAAGGAGGTTGAAAAGTGAGTGAACATACTTAATGATAGCCTGAGTGAGTGGATGAGTGTGTTAGGTTGTTGATAAGTATAATATTGTATATCCTTATCTTATCGATAAGGCAATCAGGGCTGCTGTAGGTTCTTAAATATTGATTAACCAGTCGATCGATAGCGTCTAGGAAGTACACATGACGAAAGTTGAAAGTAAATTAGCCGGGGCAGGGAGTAGGGGGAAGAGTCGAATTTCAAATCCGTTTGAAATTGAATATTGTTCCGATTGTTTTTTTATTTGATTCGCAGATCGATGAGTACGGGGCCGAGTGACGAATCTACGATAAAGACGCTGTTACGCAACAAGTCCCAGGTGCGCATGAGCCTCGAGTCCCGGCCGCGATGGAACGCTAATCGGTAATGTAAAAAATGCTTTTAAAAGGCCCCGGGGGCTACTTTGAAGCGCACACGCGGCCATTAAGAGCCGGGCTACGTGATATTTTTGTAGTGATAAGAGAACCGTTTAGTCCAGGTACCCGATATCGCACCCAAAGCGAGAAAGATCCGCATTACCAGAGGCGAATGAGGATGAGAAGAAGGCTGGCAGAGACGAGCGATGAAGGTTCTAGGTATGCAAACCTAATGCATGCGGCCTTTGAACAACAATACCGCATTCCCTGTCTTCGTTAACGTCCTCTTGTCCATTCCAGTGATTTTCGAAGATCGCCGTCTCCCAACAGGCGCAAATATAACATCGGGAAGGCAAAGTTGCGAAATTCCGTGAGGCACAAGGTCAAGATCGACAATTACGATGCTAATCTGTCGATGGAGAGCCTGAGCTCGTTGGTGCCGCTGCACACTGACAAAAATGGACGAATCCACATTGGGGAGAATGGCGAAAGTGAGGATATTTGGTGCAACGGAGATATTTTATCTCACCTTACGTCGTTGAGGAACGTGAGTGTTGGGAGTGGTTATACGAAATTTCTAATGTAATCGTGTGGGGCTGTAATAGCGCTGCGACGGGCGAAACGTAGCGAACGTCGTTACACGTCTTGAAATAAGTTTCCTCACATTATCATTATCGCAATTTGTTTTTTGACTTTATGCCGTTGCACACTACGAGTTATCGAATGCGATAACATTAATAATAAGACTTAGAGGAGAGCCTAATGCACGACAATTGTGTTTCCTCCTCGTCGAATGAAACGATCAAAACGATAAATAAAACAAAACAAAACAAAACAAAAGGCAATAAAAATAGCCATTGTAATATTAAATGCACCGCACCATAAACTGTTACTATAATATAATGCTATCTAATGTTCTTTTCAGGGTCTAATAATAAAGAAGAGAGAATGGGATCTTCAGGAGTGCCCGATTTCACCGATAACCGAACTCTACTGATAGTCACATGTGATAAACGAATGCAATCGGCGTTGATCTAAAACAAACAAAACAATAGGGCAAAAAACAAAACAAAAAACGACTAAAAAATTTTCGAACTACAAAAATAAAGAATCCATTTCCTCATGCTGCTTTAAGCATTCCATAATCTATGCCCAACACGTAAAAACAATTACAAATCTTTAATTTTGCTCGCCTATACACACGTGTATATACATAATCACTCACGACGCTACGCAAGCGCACATAGCTGTGTAAGTCAATTGTAACGTAGACGAGAGGGGGGGGGTAACGGTGCAATACGCAAATGTCGCGAATGCGGGATGAAACGCCAAAGACCAAGGTTTGACTGCGCCTAGCGGTTAGTGTATTCTCGCGCCGTTATTTTCAGCATTGCAGAGGAGCCGAGAAGACGCGAGTAAAGGATGGCAGGATTTCAGCTCGACGATCTTCTCAAAGACGATAAGAAGGACTCGAACCTCATTCCGGATTTGAGCAAGGCCACGTGCGACTCGCAGGAAGAGTTCCGTCGACTCATGGAGTGCTGCCCCGAATTCAAAATCAAGCCCGAGAAAGTAGGTAGTGATAGTGGTATTACGCGCGACAACTTACTTAGACTGAAGGAATGAACGAATGAACGTACGAACGACCGCCGAGTTGCCGAGTAGTAATGATCCTTTAAATTTAAAAGCAATGCCCCTATTAACGGCTTATCGAGCCTCGAACTTAAAACGCGCTCCTCGAATTACGGATTGCAAGATTTGATGTTCCTACGATACGATGACTCTCCAAATATCAAATTTTTCATTCGGAACACTTTGCTCGTAAACGCTAATTTATAACGTCTAATCAAAACTTTATTATTATTATTTGCATTGTTACTTTATTGCTTTATTTTAATATATCATATTGTGGAGTGGATTACTTAAATCTGGAGACTTAAATCTTAAAAGTAAATCTCGTAAAAGAAAAGTCGCATCAATTGTTCTCTCTCAAAGTTTTCTCCAAATAATAACAATAATAATAATATAAATGATAATGATAATAATTATAATATTTTACGTGTCCAATGTATTTACAAGTGATTATGTTATTCAAGTTAAAGCGAGATGATATTAAGGTGCGAGATAAAAATTTTACATGGAAGACAACGAAAAAGGAGCTTCGCGCGCTTAGAAAGGAGTGGAATTACGGGAATCCAATTCCACCGGATATGCGAATGCTGAACATTCAAGAGCTGCAGCAGGTCGCCATTGATTGGAGAATGCTGACTTCTTTGCGACCGAAGCTCCGACAAGACGAGGAAATGTTTTCTCGACTGGTGAGTCGCGCGAAACCTACATGACGAAGGGTCACGCCTATGACATCGCGTTTGGTCTCTGTCCACGTCTCCTCAATGTCCTCCACCTTCCCCGAGACGTTTTTAACGGGGCATTAGCACTGCACAACCGACAAAGAACCCCTGCACACTGACTCACCACCATCAATTCGCCAAGCGAAATCGCTGTGCTTGCTCCAGCTCTCCAATCCTCCCTTCTCTCTATACACAGGCTCTTACAAAAATCGCACACGTAATAAAAATAGCCTTGTAACCCGCCCCCAGGTGGAAATGGGCAAGCTGCAGCTGAAGACACGGGAGTTCGAGCAACGCAACTTCGTGAATCCGATACGCCGGGCGAAGAACCGCGCGGGTATAATCGAGAGTAGCGTCCAAATATGCGGCGACTGCGGGGAGGAATTTTGCAACGGGGAGTCCTGCGGCGACATCCTCTATGACTCCTACATACGCGTCACCGTCAAGCCTAGCGAAGCCAAGGTCAGACTGAGCGCCAACGCAGCGGCCATAATCGCGGGCATCGACTCCGGGAAGGCGAAACCTGGTGAGGACAATGGACCTCGATCGAAGACGTATCGTACCCCGAGTCGTTTATTATCAGCTCGAGCTCTCGCTTGGGCTGCAACGATTGCTCCTTGAAATGTCGAGAAGATTTTACATTCATCTAATTCAACGCGAAATTGTGTCCTTACATTAGAATAGTATTAATGTCGGAGCAACGTAAATATCAGGCTGTATTTAAAAAACAAACAAACAAACAAACAAACAAACAAAAACAAGACGAGACGTAGATATTTCAATATTTATTCAGTCCTCGGTATTTCACTACGTTATTCGAAAAAAATTTCCATGTCGTACGAGACCGCTCGTTGAAATTGTCTTTGCTGGCTTTTCACACAGGTCACGCGTCCGATAAGAAGAAGCAAAAGCGCACGACGGGGGACAAAAGCGTGAGGAGCACGAAAGTGGTGACGCGCAAGGTCAAGACCGGCAATGCCACCGCGAGAAAAGAGGATAACGAGGACAAAGTCGAGGAAACGAATAATCAGCGCAAGTTCCGCAGAAAATGCACCAAGAATCCTACGAAGAAGAGGAGCGCCCGGCCGGCTTCCTCCAAAATCTAGAATATCGGGTCTTTTATTCTTGCTCTTTGCTTTCTTTCCTTTGTTTTTTCTCAAGCTCTTAGCCGATTATTTCAAGCATAAACGCAAATCCAATTTCCAAGCAACTTTTGCGCGATCAGTTGGTCGATAGGGGCCAAACGAACAAGGCATCTAATATTCAAAATATTCGACGCAATTGGACGCCGCCACATTTTATCGCGAAAATTTAAAGATGAGCGTTTTGTTACGAAATAAACGGTTAAATAATGCTGAGTGTAGCATGCTAAGAATTAGTAAAATAAGAGCTGGATTATAGCAACTATTTCTTACAAAACTTAAGGTCAAGCTCAAAGTACTCGTATATTAATATAGGATTAGCTGTGATCGTTTTTACCTAGCTCGATTCATCGAATTCGCGTTGTGTAATTTTAATTGAGCGTTGAATATGTTTTGAAAGTAATTTGGTGCTATTGTTATCTCTTATCTAAAAAAATGCCTGTATAAATAGAAACAAAGAATGATTTAAATTCCTAGATTACCTTTCTCCCTGTATCCGTCGAGTAATACAACAGCATACGAATTAATTACTCTATTAATTTATTTTCTACGCATAATAAACATAATATAGATTAGAATATTAAAATTTTATGAAATGTTATTTATGTTTATTTGTCGTTTTAAGTAAGATTAAAAATGCAATGTTAAGAATTCAAATAAAATTTCCATAAAATGCATATGCTAGAACAAAAAAGACCTAAATATTATTTGATATGCAATACATATATAATGCTTTAATGTTTTACATGTTGAACATTATTTTCAAAAAGATCTGCCGTAGCTTATAAATAAAAGTAACTATCAAAAAATTCGTAATTTTCGTACGTTTATTGATTATATAAAAATGCTAGTTACCTTGAAGATAACAAAATTATAATAAAAATGATTATATACTTAAATCCATTTAAACTGATGAGTTTAAAAAAATTAATAAAATTCGACTCGCTTGGAACTATAATTACAAATCATTAGTAAATTTCAAAAAGAAAAATAATAATAAATAAAAAAAAATGGAAATCTATTTGTTTTGCGATGCTCGATAATTTTATATGTCGAATAATTTGAAGACATTTCAAATAAATAACAAATAGTATTATACAAAAAATATTACATTAAAACATTTAATTGCGAAGAATCTGATTACAAATGAAATTAGGAAAACGATGAATATTAAAGATATTAAATCGTTATGTTTTTACAGGTATAAGTTCGTTTTTAAATATATATTTAACTCTAATGGGAAATGGAAAATGGAAAATCCTTCTTCAATAATTGTTAATTTTACTTCCTTTTACAAAACAAAAAAAAAAACAAAAAAAAAACGATCTACGAAAGTTTACGATACAAACATATGCTTACAGAAAAATTGTTTCGCTTTGTCGACTTTATAAAATATTATAATCAAATCTCTAACCGATTTGACAATTCATATTTTACTTTTAATATCAATTGCTTTTGTACTAAATACATTCAGAACGAAAACACCGATGATAATTTAAAGTATTTTTAAATTACTAATTTTTTGATTTTTAAATAAATAGAATTGTCTTATATTTTAGAAAATCATTATATTTAATTGAAGAAGAAAAAAAGTCAAATACGTCCCTTAATGTCCATTCATTTTTGTAGAATTAAGTCTATAGACGCTAATGTTATTGGGAATTATAATAAATTGATTTGATTCATGCATCGATCATAAAATTTAGCTTTGACACCCGAAATTCGAAATTCTCTTCGATACTTCAGCAAGTTTATTGTAATATCAAGATGTCGACTTGTAGTAAAAATGAAAGCAACGACTATAAATAGCAATATTATTACATAGCTTAATTAAATATACGTAATGTATGACACGATACATGAATAATTCTAACACCAATTTGAAAATGTAGTAAATTAATGAGCTTATAATTGCAGCCTAAATTATTCATGCTCACATTGTTAATAGCATTTCTTTGTAATTCGTAATAAAAACATTTGAATGAAATTGGTAAAAAAAAAAAAATGTAAAAACATTGTTAAAATGCTGGAAAAATATAATCTTTATTAATCGCTTTCTCCACATCTATTTTCATGATTACCTAACCCTGAAATTCGCATTCAAAATCATCACAATCAAAGTTTTTCACGATTTTTCTCACGGGACAATAGAGCGTGTTTGCCCTAATCATCATCGATGTCAACAGTTCTATTATTTTTCTACCTAACCTCATGCATTTAATAGCTTCCCAGCAATTGAATTTAAGCTTTTTAAATATACACATTAAAGATTATAAAGCGAGTCTCTAAAGACATAACGCAAGTGTGCATATACTACATGTCTATCAATCATAATTGATGTGTATGTTCGTATAATCTGGACTTCTCGACTTTTCCTCCCCTCTGTGAGAGGATGTAAACCGATTTTGATGATAATAATCAACAATTAGAAAAGAAAATGCTCCTTCCCTATTGAATAATGGGATTACTAATTCCCTTGTAATTAAGACCATCATTCGAATGACCAATTCGAATGACCAATGCAAAAATTTAACGCTGATGAATCACTTATTAATTTGGTTTTAGATGATACGACAATAATCCCAGCATCCATTAATAAGTACTTGAAAATTATAATAGAGAACTGTAGCGTCTGAAAACTTTGTGGAGTACACGGCAAACGAATGCACATAGGCATGCACACGCGCACAAACATGAATATGACGATTAAACTTAAAAGATAAGTTAATAAGTAGTAATATGGAACGTAAAAGTATTGAAGTCAGACCAAATTTGTTAGGCTCAATGTCAAATGTAAAGCACTGGAGCGGTTTCGATCCTTGTCAGACATAACTTTGCCAAGTCCAATGACCAAACGATTGCTCGTACTTTCAGCAAAATGAATTCCATATCGGAAGCGTAGGAGATGGTTGAAGGAAATTCATTATTCGATTAAAAAACGACTGTATTGACATACTTCACTTTCTACCAGACAATGATTCATTGATACGTGATTAGTGTTCAACTGTCGACTATCTCCACATCTATACATGCCAATATTGCAATTGGGAAGCTCCCAATGTGTCATTAGCCAATTGTTTCATACGGAGCTTCTGATTTACAGCGAAAACTAGCGGTCCCTTCAACAAATGGATTAATAGCTCCGACTCCGATTTCCAAATATCAGGCCAACTTTTGCCTCTAATCAAAAACAATTTGTCTGCATTGTATCATGAACTCTAGACAGTCGATATTACCAACAAATCACGATGCAAAATAGTTTTATACAATTACAACAACAACAACAACAACAACAACAACAACAACAATAAAATGCAATAGAGCCTAGGGTGTAAAATCAGGCGATACTTAACTGATGGTAAGATAATTAATTAAATACCCTAACGAGAGTTATTTTTATCTTTGTATTATTGAACTCTGCAAGCCGAATAAATCCAATTGGATAATCACAAAACTGGGTGAATCTATTATAGGACATACACGCATCATATAGAAATATTAACATATACCAAGATTATTTTCGTTTATGTAATTTATGTATAATAACACCAAGAGCCACAATAATAGATAAAACATCGTGGCGATCGAAAAAATTCGATCGGCCTGGTGAAAAATGTCGCAAACATGACCTTGACAATGATGCAACAGTAATATAACTTTACCACAATCAGACTTATTCATATCGTTAATGGTACAAATAGCTTTCGACCTGTATTAACAATGTTTAACAAATTTCTAAGTTTCACATTTTAACTTTCCGTACAAAAATAAAGTATTGAACGATACTATTGAAAACTTTGTCGATTAAATTGTTGCAATATTGATAAAACTGTTGACAGGATTATTTGTCGTTTACTTATTGAACGTTCTTAAGTCAAAGAATTTATATTGTGTAATATAGCTTAATCTACTTAACCAACGTGATATTATTACAAGCTAAAATGCCGTTCCTATCAAACTAGAGAATAAAGAGAAACTAACTATTTATTAGCTGCTTTAGGGAGTATTTTGTAGTGATAAATCTTTTCAATAATATAAACGAAAAATTCAACAAAATTAATAAATAAAATGAATTCAATACCAAATAATAATATTCCTATCAATAATTTTAACAATATTTGTACAATAATGGCTTTAATAAGATACAACACTAGTACACAAATGGTGTTTGCTCATACTTAAACAATAGCAACATTTTATAGTTTTATTTTCGTAACTTCTATTCGCCATTCCAAGTTTATGATGACGTTACGTTAATGATTAAAACGATTTATAAATAATTTCAAATATAATCAGAATAAATTTGAAAAATACATGTATAATGAAAACTATGGGAGACCAATGATTTTTATCTTTATAAATATCAATTTTTCTCTTTTCTATATATAAAAAATATATATATATATATATAAAGAGAAATGGAATGTCAGTCTCATTAGACAGCTACCATAGTTTCATAAAATCTTCCGTTAAGGATGGCAAGTATTTGACTTTCCGATGAAATTTTATATAAATAAATAAATATTTCAATTATTTTTATTTTGAAATCTACATGTACAATAATTTAACATTCTTAACGAGACAGTTTATAACAAAACACTGTGTGTGATAAATTTGAACAACGTATCAAATACTATAGAAAATAAAAAAATATTATCAAGATAATTTTTATTTTCAATTTAAACATTTCATTTGATAAACATATATTTCTTTAAAAACATTTGGCTATTTTCAATATATTATTACTTTATGCTTTATTTTATTTTTCATTTAAAATGTTTTGCCATCTTTATTCAAAGCAGCTAAAATCACTCATTTGCGAATATTTTATCGCATAAAGTACTTAACGGTGAACACTAAAAATGGCAGTATCTTATAGTTTCCGTTAATTTTACACATTAGAAAATTATTAAACTAGGATTTTCATATGTTATAAGTTAATAGAAGAACCTGAAAGCTTGGTAAAGCGCTTAAAAAATGTGAAAATCAACATCTTCCATACTTGTCATCCTTAATGGATGTATTTTTGCTTTAATGTACATATTTACATTTATTGTAATATGTTTAGCAAAGCAACAATTTCTTGCATTCTTATGTTTTTTGTTTGTATTTTACATGCCGTAATACGTGCACATTGGACAATTGAAGATTAAATGCATAAACATGCATATATCCATTTCCAATAAAATAGAACTGCCCAAGGTGCAATACACATTTCATTTGTTATATACAATTGTTATGCAACTATTCAAAATATAAAGTTCCCATAAAAATGTACAATATAATGTATTACCCTTATAATTGAGTAATTTATCTTTTTTTTTCTCTCTGCTTTTCTTTATGCAAAAAACTCGAATTACAATTACTGTTGCCTTTACAATAAAATAATTTGCATAGACGAATATGAATGGCTTATACAAAAATATGCTTCACTCAAGATAATTGTTACATACAGTCCCTGTGACAATATTAATTGTCTACTTCTTGCTGTGACTCATTAATGCTATCACCTTTTTTGTATTTTATTCATTTTTTTCTTCTCGACTTTAAGTACAATCGAACAGTGCTATTTTATTTCAAAGAAAATACATTGGCTATTTGCATACATACATCACATATCAAATGATATATAAATGTATTTGCTAAAGTATAAAAGTAACTATAATACGTAAGTATATTTATTTCTATTAATCCTTGGCATTTTTATAACTATGAAACTGAATGTAATTGTGGATCATTTTTTTAGCGTTATTTGATATAATTGTTCTTTCTAATGTATGTTGGAATTAGTTTAATGGGTATTTTTGTACCCGGATATTATAAAAATTTTCATGCAGATTTTTTTTTTTTTTTTTTTTTTTTTTTTTTTTATTTAACGCTAAGTTATAGTAATTCTGTTGAACAGCTAAAGTTTTTTAATTACATCTATACAGTAACACTTTTTAATTAATAAAGCAAAATAAAGCACTGATATTTTCTAAGTATGCAAGTGATTTAAACAAATAGTACGTTTGGATCCCTGAATTTAGTAATATATTATATAAAAGAATTTCAATGATAATAATCATAGCATCACTTTTTAATCGCAGTTTCTAACCTTAATAATAAATAATGAAAAAACTAGAAATAAATTGTACCGACAAGATTTAATGGACTAATAATGTTGTGACTTTTAATGTTTTTTCTTGAAATATATATACCATTTAAAAAAAAAAATAAAAAATAATAATAATAATAATAATAATAATTAAAATAAAATGTTTTCCTGTTCGATTTTCATAGACTTTATAAATCGATATATTCCATGTTAGCATAAACCACATAGCTCCAGTGATAAAGTGAAATTCCGGCTGAATTCCACAATGAAATTCAAGCACATCCTTATAACACACACACACACATCCATCCACATTATTATCATACTAAGTTGTTAGCCCGGGTACAGTATTAATGATAACAAAGATACAATAATATGTATTGATAACATAAAATTTGCCAATTTGTAATTAATTACTGCACTTTAGGAGAACTAGAAGTCAAATATGATACAATAGTTAATCTGATAGATGTTAACACTTAGAAATCTTTTTATAATGGTGACTGAAATAATTATAGAAAATCATTTTCTTACAAACAAAATGTTTTCTTTTCTTAAATTTTGAAAATGCGGGTCTAAAGTGATATGATGAATTTTAAAGCTTTGATCCAATTTTGATACTTTTGATTGGACAGTACAACGAACACCAACATAAAGCATTGGAATAAAAAATTTGAATTTATTCGATACACTTTGTGAGAAAAACTCCTAAGATATATATATATATATATATATATATATATATATATATATATATATGAGACTCATTGTTTAACATCTCTAATGCTCTAATAAAATATCGATTTTCCCTTTTAATTTGTTCCTGATGCACGAGAAATATAATAAGCATATTTTGTACTGTCACCTAAGTTAATATTTTTATAAGCGTAAATTCCCATTCCTCTACATCTTCACCAAAGACTGATCGTTAATAAATTTTATTTTAAAATGTACGTCATGCATTTTGCGCAACGATCAAATCGTCAACGAAAAACTTTGAGGTTTGAGATGAAACCATTACATCTACGTTTGGATAACGTTAACTTTGCTTCTTTAAACTTATAATAATATGCCTCTTATCAGCAAAAAATTCAGTAAGGCAGTGTTCCATCGAGGTTCAACTTCTGTGACTTGATTTCCGTTTATTTTAGAACTTTTTCTTCTTTCGTGTACAGAAGAGAGCACGAGGCAGACTTCCCGCTCAATATCCCCAAGTGCAAGGAACTTGTCTTCTTCCCTTTAACGACAAAATTCTCCTCAGTTATCCTTTCGAGACTTTTTTTTGCTCTTCTTTGGAGGTTTAGCTTCCTTCCAAACATCTATATAAATAACAAATTATATCATATCACGAAATTTGATAAAAAGTCATTTTTATTCCAAACTATTATATGCACAATATTCTACCTCCGAGTTCATCGAATGAAGCGACGCCACTCTTTTCTTCTCTTTGATCGACTTCTACGGATTCGATCGGGTCAGCTTTAGCTATAACTTCATTACTCTTTTTGTCAGCTAAATTGTCGACGGTGGAGTTTTTATCTTCCTTAGGTAATGATTCCGCAATCGGCTTAGGATTATCAGCATCAACATTCTTCTTAGACTTCTTACCTTTACCGGACTTTTTCTCCTCTTTTTCAACTTTCTCGACTTTGGGAGATTGCTAAATACATTTAAAGCTATTTGTATATTTCTTTGCAGGCACGAGTATAACAATTTTATTTAGAAAATCTTCTTTAATCAATTCTTTACGTGAAACTTGGCTCAAATTATTAGATTAATTGTTTAAAAAAAAAAACTTTCGTTTATTGAAAAAAGATATATTTCTAGTTTAAATAAATTTATAATTAATCTATCCGAAATAAAAATGATATATTTCAATAGTTAATATATGAATGAAATTATCCTCGGAATATTTGTTAAGAAAGATTTACTTATGAGCGCCTTTGAAATTTAGATAAAAAATATAAGAAAAACATTTACTGATAAAATATATTACACAGTTGGACGTTTACAGATAAAAATAAGAATATAGAAACATTTAAAAATATTTCTAATTAAATTATATTACCGTAACAACAGGCTTTTCTTCGATTTTTTCAATTTCTTTCTCCTTCACCGATTTCTCAGTTAAAATTGGAGTTAAAATCACATCCTTATTGTCCTTCTCCTTTAATTCCTTATTTTCAGTCTCTTTTGTAATTTTATCTTTGATTTCAGGCTTTTCCTGCTCCTTTTCATTGACAGCGTCATTAATTAAATCAGCTTTTTTCGATTTCTTTATTTTCTTCGATGGTGTCTCTTCTTCTCTCTTTTTCTTTAATTTATCCTTTCGTGAATATGCTTGCTCCCAGTCACCTAAATATTGCAAAATCTCGTTGAAGGGAAACCCATTTATATTATAATATAAATTGTATGTGAACTTCCGTTTTCATTTAAATAATAACTTAAGCGGTTTCATTCCTAATTCACGGATATACATTATATTTTATTTTACATGGATTTACAATTTAATATAAAAATTAAAGCTTTATCAGCTAGAAATATTATTGGGATATTTTAATATTATCTTAATACACTCGAATGCTCTGAATTGCAGTCATATTCCTCCAATAATAATGAAACACAAAAACTTTTATCTCAAATAAAAGTGTAAAGCGATACAGATAAACAGAAAGACATACACGACACCACCAGTAAAGCAAATCTCTTTATACAATTAAATATCTTAGTAACATATCGTTTCGTAAGTAAGTGGTTATAAAATTTTTCAGTTTAAATTATTGGAATTCCATTGTATAAGTTTTTTATTTTTAAAAATAAAAATTGAATCAATTTAAAAATTCTTAGTAAAATTTAGAATTTTAATAAATAAGTCAGCGTTTTGTTTTGCTATAAATTACGCAAAATAATAAAATAAAAATTTTAATTCAAATAATTTTCTTTTATGTAATTTTGTCGAATATTTTAATTTCAGTAAAATTTACTATATATTAATATTTACTTATAATATTTACACTATACTATATTTAATATGAAAACGTGTACAATTATAAAGTTAAGTGCTTCTTATACACAAATTTTAAACATTACATTTTAAATCTTCCTTTATAGGAAAAGCGTAATTGGAATGCTCATATTAATAAATAGCGTGGATACATCGGAAAAGTATAATTATTTCAAAATTCATATTTAAACAAATGATAATACCTTCGTCGTAATCAAGCGGCTTCTCCTGCAACAAATTCTTCAAATTCTTCTTATTTTTTGCTTGTTCCGCTTTATTCTCTTTGCCGGATTTAACATCCTGAGCTTTGTCCTTCTTATTGGTCGTCGTTTTATTGTCATCCTGCTTACGCTCCTTCAATTTGCCATTGACTTCCTCGGATTTATTCAACTTTTTAGTTGATTCCGACTTGACCGAGGCCGATTTTTTGGAAGGACTTGCTTTTTCAGACGTTACTTGGCCATTAGCTGACCGCTAAAATTATCAAAAATAGTCCGATTAAATATAATCGAATTTTGGAAGCGTTCCATATTTCATTAAACTGAAAAGCCAAAAGCAATTGGCGTCATTCTTAAGAGCGAAAACTAACGATAACTGTAATAATTTATGTACAAACGTTAAAATAATTTCATCGTCAATATTTTGTCATATGGCATTAAGTTCGTTTTTAACTGAATATTTCGTTTCTATAAAATATAATTAATAATTGTGCCAGAATTGTAGCTGTTATTTTAAATAGAATATATATTTGAAAAATATTGAATAGAATGCAGGGATTTTATTTATTTCAATTTGTTTTGAAAACTATTTGTTCATTTTATGTTTTAATGCAGTTTTGATTAATATTTTTATTAATATCTAATATAATTTATAAAAGAACAAATTTAAAAAATTAATAGTTTATAATATGTAATATAAAATTGTAATAACAAATTTAATTTTTAAATAATTATAATTATAATGAATAATAATGGAAAAACTAAATTTTCATACATAAATAATACAAAATTTAATTTAAAAATGATTGATGTACTAACAATATTTCTTGTAATGATATTAATAAAAGACCTTCATAAATTTAGTCGAAATTTTGTACAATTATTCACTGCTTAAAGGCTACAGGTAAATCAATTTATTTAGATTTGGCACAAATATTTATACTATTTAAATATTTTATTGATAGCTGTAGCATAGCGGCTTAGGTGACGTTCGTATTACAGGTGAATAAAATAATATTTGTTTGCCAAAAATCTTAAAGAAGTCTATCTAAAATCGTCTCATATAAGCTTAACTTTGTCTTTTAACACATATTTAAACAATTAGTTTTAATTATATTTAATTTGAGTTTCAAAAAGAGCTTTCATTATAATTACTTTAAATATGAAAGAAAATTTTAAACAATATTATAAACAAAATATGTTTAATTGAATATATTACATTATTAAACAATAAAAAAAAGACCAATACTGTTGTTAAATTTGTTTTATAAATTATATTTCAAAAATATAATTTTGAAAATTCGTGACAAAAAAAAATTTTCGTTTTGGTAATTAAAACAAAAATAGCATACAAAATAATGATTTCATAATTTTTAATTTGAATTATTAATCATAAAAAATTTAACATTTATAAATTTAGTCAGTAATGATATATTATATAATTGTATGGGTAATCATACTTCGAGCAAATGATTAATAATTAATATTGACTTATAATTGGTGAATCATACGCTTTACGCTTTTAAATTCTTATTAATTGAAAATAGTTTTTAATTAAAAAAATTATCAATATTGATTCAATTACATTTCACGAGATTGCATTAATTAACAGATCGATATTATACAAATTAATTGATATCACAAGCAGTAATACATTCTAATATTAATTATGTAGTAAGTGAAATAAAAAAAAATTGCTTGTAAATTTTTCCGGCAAATTAATAATTTCTTGCTTCATTATACATACATTATACATACATACTCGTTAATTAAATATATTTGTTTTCATTATGTGAAAAACTATTACAATTACATTACAAATTTATCGACTGATTAATTATTTAAGTGAAATAGAGAAAAAATTATTTGTAACGTATTAACTAGACAATTCAATGTATTTTTGTTTTTTTTTTTTAATTTTTTTTAAATTTCTTTAACAACAAAAATTTCTACAAAAAATTTCTACAACTAGTAATTATTTTCAATATATATCTATTGAAAGTCATTTTTATCATTTCTAGGCATCAGTTTTTATGACTTTACATCACAATTAAGACCAAATTCTAAATGTGTTTTTAATGGCTATTACATGTTTTTTAATAATATATATAAAGATTAAACTGAGTACATAATAATTTTCAACAGTAAGTACATGTCCTCTGCTGGAAGTGTATAAAAATAAAGCCTTTACTTCCAAATCAATTGTCTTAAGAAAAGAAAAAAATGAATACCTCGAATAAGATTAGATCAAAATTTTAAAATACTTCGGTGTAAATTATATGTATAAGTAATACAACATATGCAATGCTTAACATACAATCCGCGAGAATGACGGATATATCAAGAATACACACAATAGAAAATTAATTAAATCTTAACTAATGAAATATTAGACTTATTGCTTAAGAACATTTTATCAACTAAATAAACTTTCCATTGCGTTGTGTATTAAGAATATAATACAAGACATTTCTATTATAATTTTCTTATTAATACATTGATTTTGAATTAATTGAATGAATACATTGATTAAAAATAAATTGAAGAAAAAAACAATGCATTTTTAATTGTGTAGAATATTTTTAGACAATTTAGTTGTACATTCACGTTTATATTTACAACATGAAATATATATCGCTTTCATTAATAAATGAAGTGACCCACATAATTTAGACCTTGACTTAAAAATATTAATTGTAATTAAATCAAGCCTTTATATATCCTTTATCTTAAGCAACTAATAGTTATTTAAATTAAATTTATTAAAATTGTATGCTTTTAATTGAAAGTTTGGCAACTAACTACGTAAATATTTGATTAATTTCCATTTTTAATTCAAACGATCAGTTAAGAAAAGTACTAGGGCCTTTTTAAATCATTAGAAATTTAATTGAAACTCTCATCTTGAAGAATTAAAGACTGTTGACTAGAAAAGCTTAATTGAATTAATGAATATTTATTTACTATCAACAATATCGTACCGTTCGCGTTGAATTTAACGAAGCAGTTTTTTGTGAATTTTGTTGAAATATGTATATATATATATATATATACATATGACAAAAGTTCATTAATAAATCACAATAATCAAATAAATAATCAAAAATTATTATATTTATTACTAGTAAATCAAAATATTATTAATAATAGTATGAGATCCTGTGTAAAGGCATTGACATTCCTTCAGCATACTTAAAACTATCAAATCACATTTATTTTGCATCATATCCCTACACAACACAAAATAAATTATAATTGTCATAAAAACAAGATTGGCGCATTGGCGATAAATTGCATCATAAGGATTAAGGTCGCGACCTAAGTTGAACCTCAATGCACATGCGTTCCAGCCTGAATAACAGCCCGAGAATATCCACAGGGGGGGGGGGGGAGAGAATGCAATGAAGCATAAGGAATGAGAAAAATAATAGAAACAGCACAACGAATTTGGGCGTGCGTGCGTGGCGATATCAGCGATTTGATACACGCCATATGGCACGATTGCGTACATTATATTTTACGTGAGATATATTTCCGAATTATCGTATACCTTAGGTGGAAAATTATGTGAACGGGAAATTAATAATAAGTATGAATAATAAGTCAAATATAATCGAGTGCTTAGAGTAGTGCTTGGTGCTTAGGTAAATGATATTCTAGTCGTTGGGTATTACGATAGAGAAGACATTGACATTCCTTGATAGACAATTGTTTCATAAAGTGTAACAACTTAATATGGAATTAACGCTTAAAGAAGAACGCTTGGTTTACACTTCTGGAATTTAAAATTTAAGTAAATGCATAATAATATAACTGCATACAACGATAATAATGATGATGATGACGATGATGACGATGACGATAATGATGTTAAAAAGAAGAGAAAAAGAGAAAGAAATAACGGGGACTTAAAAGAATGCAGTCGTGCGTTAGCTACTCGTGAAAAGAGAAAAACAGGTTTCTCCTCTGTCCATTCTGTATTCTCTTGCGCCTTGTAGGGATAATTTCTCGTATATTTTTTTTTTTTACTCGCTCGACTATATATTGTATGTATGCATGTATGCACTGGACATCGATGTGTTCATCGAAAGTAAGGGGAATAGCTGTAAATCGCAAAATTAAATGAAATTTCGCAATAAATCACAAGTGTCGAACGGAGTAATGCAGATGGAGTGACTTGCAAACGCACGAGTGCGCGAGATAAACATGCTAATCAAAATATGAAGGATGAATGCTTTATTTAAGAAAAAGTTGAGGCGACGATACGAAAGTGAAATCGAATAGGCAATGCTGGTAAAGTCAATGTCCCACTATTTCTCGTCGGCAGTTAAAATTCTCGACCAGCGAGAAGTCGGACATATGGCAGAAACGTATCCACCTCTTCTCTTCCCACCTCCGCCCCTCTAAATGCCCGACTTAGTCACACCTACCAATTAACATAGCCATTAAAATCATAGGCGTCCAAAAAACGATAAAGCATGGTCAGTGGCCTAAAATAAAACCGTCGACATAACGGCGCTTAACTGTCGCATATGGAAGGAGCATAACATTATAACCTCCAATAGCTGGTGGCTCTCTATGAGCGAGATTGGGGCATCATTGAAAGAGGACAAATGCCAATAACTTTCGTGACAACGTGCATAAAAGACAAGAAAACACGTTAAGAGAAATAAAAGAGCGCGAAAATTCTAAGGCAACGGCAAGTTGATTTCTCGATTATCGTTGCTCAGGGGTACGTCCTAACCTGCTCGGCCGTACCCTACCTATCGATCGATGCAGCGCGCGCGCGGCAAAGACAAGGACGGAGAGAGAGAGAGAGAGAGAGAGAGAGAGAGAGAGAGAGATAGAGCGCGAAACGGCAAAGGGCCCGGGAGGATAAGGGTGACGAGGATGCCATCGCGAGATATGGTTCATTTGGCCGCCGTCGACTGACCTTCTCCTTGGTCTTGGAGCGCCTCTTCGTCTGGGTCTTGCGCTCGGCATCCGAGAGGGGCCCCGAAAGGTGGGCAAAGGGCGGCTGCTCGGCCTTCTTGAATCCGAACGCGAAGACGAGTAAGGCACAGACGAGGACGATGCCCACCGGCACCGCGTATTGGGTGTGTTGGAGCAGCGCGTTCAAGTCCATCGTCGCGTCTCCCTTGGCTGCGCAACTCTTCCTCACGGCGATACGGACCAACGAGCTCCTCCAGGAGGGGCGCGAGTGCTGTTCCTCTCACTGGTGCGGGCGGGTGGGGGCGGGCCGTTCAGACGAGGTAGGGCGGTGACGGCAGCGGTGGCGGTGGCGGCGGCGGCAATTGGCCTTGTACGAATCCACGCACTCGCACACACAGCAGGAGGCTCGCGGCGCGCAATAACGCGCCAACCGACGAAGACGAACTGCCGAGTCCTCGACGAGGACCGGACTAGTTATCAAGGCAGATAGCGCCAGCGACGGTCGTAGACCGGACTGTTCCGCGACCTCTTCCGCCGACTCTATATTTACATTACATACACGGCCTGGCCGAAGCTACACACAACAACGGCAGTCGCGCGCGGCCTATCCGTCCTTGGCTGCGCGCGATACTCGCTTCACCCGATATCCGAATATCGGATTATCTCTCTCTCTCTCTCTCTCGCGCGCGCGCGCGCGCGCTTGCTTACGTGTCGATGCATGCGCATCGTACACAACCTGGTAATGGGTTGTTGGAGAGTCACGATGACTCCCTTCTCCCTCGCACGCGGCATTATTAACCTCCGTCCCTCTCTTTCTCAACGCCGCTCTTCTAACGCCCGCATGAAGCGCCAAATGAGCGCAAGCGTGAACAATCCAACCGCAAGCGGCTCGCGCGATTGAACATTCGAATGGCATTGCGCGGACACTTTCCGCGAACAAAGTCCCCGAGACAGAGCCAGACACCGTTAAATTATTGTTACGACCGCCGCTGATACCGATGATATCCGATCAGTTGAAAAAGGGAATTTCTTCGTTCGGGGCCACTCGCTCGCTTGCTTTATAAAATATCATCAAAGTTCTGTTTCTTCGCGGGTAAACGCTCCTGCCTTGTGCCGTTGGATTTAGTGCAAATGCGAGTAACGTATTTTCATGCTTGATAACAAATTTCCAACTTCCGTCAATAATTCAAGGCAATGAGGTGATGTTTTAGGCGATGACGATCGAATAGTTCGTTAATAAAACAGGGAATTGCCATTTGGGGGAAAAAGCCTCGATTACCGCGATTCCGGCGCGCTACATCCCTACCACCCTTTTATTATTATTACCCAAGAATTTTTAATCATATACACGAGTAGTGCATAATATAATTCGACTAACTAATTAAACAAGATTCGGAAAATTGAAATTTTATAATGCCATTGCTACGATTAGTGTCTTTTGCTAAGAAAAAAAAGAACAAAAAATATCTTTTTCATCGATGCTATAATGTTACATTAGCACTTTCACCTTCGTTGTTGGGAAATCTATTCACTTATCCAAACGAATACACAACGATCTAGCATTAATGTGAATTTAATGAAAAATTTAGCTAATAGCTTTACTTGCTTGATAAAACATTCAAAATAATTATGTACATTTATTTAAATATGAGAAGCAATTTGAATTTCTATCGAATGATATTTCATTATAAGAACTAATTAATATTGATATTATGTTACTATGAGCATCGAAGCTATTAAAGCTATAATCTATATTATATTATGTAACAACTAACCCAATAATTCATTTGCTATTGAATCCTTAGGAAAATACATTTTACACATTTCTTGCAACATATTGTGCGCATACATTGATTTACCATATATATATGTCAATGTTTATTTATTAACATTACTTTGCCCAAATACGACAATGAAAAGCAGGAAATGCTTATTAATAAACTTTGCGATATGCTATTCGCTCAAGTTGATTGACATGAAAAACTCATAAATTCGAAAACATATAAAAGCGCCCTTAATTGCGATGACATAAAATAATATTCCATGTCTAATAAAAGAGCAGTGCATAAAAAATACATTATTCGACAAAAAAAAAAAAAAAAAAAAAAAAATAAAAAAAAAATAAAAAATGACCTTGCCTTAATTTTCTGCGCGAA